TGGAATAAAAAATTGTTATAAAATTGTTAAATATGTATATATCATTATTAATTAATTTTTTAGCTAACATATACACTAGTGGACAAAAAAAAACGCATAATCAAAAAAAATGGCATCTAGCAAGATAATATTTATTAATTTTAAAAGGTTAAAAAATAAATTGGTTTTTTCTCATTTTTATTTAAAAATATATTTACTTTAAGGTATACGGTTTATAAAAATCAAAGTGGACAAAAAAAATGCATATTGTTTAATTAATACCTTGTATGCCCACCCTTTGCTTATAAAGTGCTTCAGCTCGATCTGGCATACTTTCGACCAACTTTTTGCAGAAATCCGGATCAATCCGGTCCCATTCTTCATGCGTTATCCTTTTAACTCATCAATGTTTTTTGGCTGTCTTTTCCCTTATTCTTGTTTTCAGGTGAGTCCAGAGATGTTCTATTGGATTCATATCTGGTGATTGGGATGGCCAGCTTAGCACAATAATCTTCTTATCTCTGAAATATTCTCTTGAATGCATTGAACGATGCTTTGGATCGTTATCTTGTTGGAATTCATATCCATTAAGAACCCATTTTTGAAGCTGACAATGCAAGACAAGAGTCGATTATCCTAGTATATTTAAGGGAATCCATATTTCCCTCAATGATCGTTAACATTCCAGTGCCATTAGAGCTAAAACAACCCCAAACCATAATATGCCCTCCGCCATGTTTAACAGTAGGCTTTAAATTTTTCAAATTATATCTTTCCCCTTACCTTACGACGCACATATCTTCGTCCATCTGATCCAAACAAGTTTGATCTTGGTCTCATCTGACCAGATTATGCTATTCCAATGCTCTTGAGTGTAATAAACCCATTCTTAGCATGCTCATATCTGCTTAAAACATTTTCAGGACTTAAATATGGTTTAGAACAGGCAACTCTGCCAGGCAAACCTATAGAACCACAATCCACGACGAATTGTTCTAGATGAAACACATTTTCTTTTTCTGTCATTTAATATATTTTTCAATTATTTGATCCTAATTTAGGATCTTTTGAGATATTTTGCTTCAAAAAAGTTAAATCACCTGATGAGAGTGACAACTTTCGGCCAGATCCCGGTTTTCGAGATGAAGACCCTCTTATAATATATTTTTAACAATTCTGGAAATTGTTGATTGATTTACGGAGTATTTTTTTGCTAACTCCATTCGGCTCATTCCAGACTCGTGGAAAGCTTCAATTTGAGCCTTGTCTTCATTGATAATTGCTTTGATATGGATGCACTGAATCATAGAATTTTTTTTATGTTTTTTGGCGGGAAAAGGCAATTTTTTTCAATATGCATTTTTTGTCCACTTTGATTTTTATAAACCATTCAATATACTACCTAATTTCTTTATACCTTAAAGTAAATATATTTTTAAATATAAAATGAGAAAAAAAAACCCAATTTATTTTTTAACGTTTTAAAATTAATAAATATTATCTTGCTAAATGCCATTTTTTTTATTATGCTTTTTTTTTTTTTTTTTGTCCACTAGTGTATGTAAAAGGAAAAAGCACTTACCTTAGGAAGATAATAATATAATTTAATAATTTCCACTTAATTTTCAATTTTTAATTCACCTTATTCAGTCGACAATACTAAAATTTATCAATTTTAGTTTTGTCGTGCAATCTATATTAAGGTACGCATCAGTGACCCCTTTATGTTCCTATCTTTTATCAGGATTGTTAAAATAATACAATTTACGTTTAGATAAATGAATATGCCCTGGCGACGCGGTGAGTATACGTAGGTGGTCTTATATTAACCTCCAGTACAGCTCCGACAGTTCAAATGCGACTGAAACAAAAAGTACGATGGGTAGGGTGTTACTCCTATTTCGCGTTGCCCTTCTCTATCTATCGTTTTCAGCACATTTGGAGAAATAAAATCAGTTTAATATTTTAAGAAGTGTTTTAATTTAAAAATAAGTAAAAACTAATAAAATGAAAAATAAATTTTTACTATATCGCAAATAAAAAATTGCCGCCTCAAAAGGCTTGCGCCCTGGGGCTATAGCCCATTTAGCCCTGTGGTTAGGGCGGCACTGCCGTATTTTGATTTGATTTGTCAGTTATCCATGTCAAATGATAAAAATTATGATTCACGATTGTTACTTAATAACTTAATGGCATCGATATTTACGAAACACGCAAAAATGATAGTGCGGTTAGATACTATCATAAGCGTAAATAATACCGAAGTGGTTGCGTTGATAGTAGATTATTACCCATCCTTGACTATGCTGGTAAAAGCCTTTAGCGCCATCTTTTAGAGCTAAGGAGAACTAAACGGAAAGGGAATAAAGAAATAACATTAGAACCATCTGTAGCTTTGATGCTAAACAAAAGTTGTTTGAAGTTGTGTGTACCACAGTCTGTTTCTAATTAAAATTTTATTTTTTTATTTATTTGTAAAAGGATTAGGCCTTTATAATTGACAATCGAAACATATAGGGAACGATAAACGATTTCAAATCGCTCAGAAGTGTGTTACATATAATTTATATTTTTTTTACTTAGCGGTAAAATTGAGAGCAATTTTTTTTTTTTTTTTCTGAAACATGTCTTATTATTGATTGAAGATGTTCAGATTTACATATTGTATTTCACATTCCCTACTCCCGTTCCCCCAAAAATACTCTCCAAAGATGAGTTTTGAAGTTATTTATAATTTTATAATTGGATACTGAAAATATGACTAGAACAGGTTTATATATGCTAATCAGATTTTTGATTTAATTCTTATACTTCATTATAAAATACAAATGAATGCAATAAATAGCTAGATTAAGGAAACAAAGAATTTAACTATCAATAATCTTTAAGAAAATTGCAAGCTTTCTCTCTCTCCCTGTCCCAGCTGTTTTTAATTTGTAGTAACATAAACGAGCATTAATTAACACTAGACTTTAATTAACACTAGAAAAGTCAAATTATTTAATTTGACTTTGAATTGAAAATTTGTTAATTAACTTTTAATTAACACTAGAAAAGTCACATAAACTTGTATTTTTCAGCGCAATCAAGTAATTTTTTTTAAAAATGGGGTGAATATGTTTCGCTCTCTGTTGTTTTCTTATTTTCCCTTATAACTTCTAAGCTAATAGATATACTTTAGTGGAATTTAATTTAGACTTACCTCAGTTAGTGAAAAGCATGAAGATGACAAAAGTGCTAAAAGTGATTATGAGAGAGACATGAGTGGCATTGTTATTCTCGAGTCTATATGTTTTGTATGTATGATTTGAAGCCTAATTGCAAATTTGTTGTTAGCAATTAATTTCTAAGCTTTTTGAATCATGCATATATAGTTACTGGTTTGTGATTTCACTAGTGATTCAGCATTTGATTCAGCTTGTAGTAAATAAGTAGTACACATTCTGAAAACTGCAATGATAAAAATTTATTGATAACAATTTAAGAAATTAGTTTTATTAGTACAGTTTAAGAAATTAGAAATGACAGACAAAATCCTCGAATTCAATATCCAATGAGGAATCTAAAAAGAAGTTTCCATGAATATATGTGAATAAGCACCTAAAAAAAAGCATATCTGGTTACATGGCTACCCATGCAAGAATTAAAACCTCTTGACTAAAAGATGGTGTGTAGTTATTGCCATCGTTGTCAGTAGTTTAGCACATTTGGGAATATTGGATAACACATTTCATCTATGTAGGCACCTAAATTCTCAGAATATCGGTATGTAGGCATGTAAAAATCTTCATACTGAGACAGTTCTTTATGATATGAGGATTGGGATGTGGTGTAGGATGTATTGATGATGTATGGATTGGGATGTATTGCATCATCTCATGCCTGTTGTCTGTGTCTTTAATCTTGGGTCCTACTCTTCATGAATCCACTGGATGATAGAGAGCTCCATACTGGCCTTTTTTAAGTAGATGCCATGTATGTATCATATTCTAAACTAAACTATTAGCATGAGTAAAATTATTTTCTTTCCTCCTTATAAAGATTTTGTTATTTCTTGAGGACTTTGACCATTAAGGTTACTTATCTCTCTGAGTTCCTAAGTGGCATGCTAAAAGAGCAAGTATATCACAACACAACATGTGTTGGAATTAATTGCAGGAAAGCAGTCATTTATAGCTTGATACCAAAAGTGGGAAATTGAAGCTTTATGCAGTGAATACCTTCGCATAGCCAGGAGTGTCTTAATACTAATGATTCCCACATTTAAAACTTTTGTTAAATCTTTAAGCTAATGATTAAGTTTTAATAAATGAAGATATGTCCGTATTTAAATTTCACAAACTGCATCTTCTAATTTGAAAGATAGGAGAGCACATCAGGGTTCAAGAGTGAATTAAGAACTTCCATTTAATTGTAAGTATATAAAAATTTAAATTAAGTATAATGGCTGATAGTTTGGCAATTATTATTGTCAAATGTTATAATACTCATGTAATAAAATCTCAAGGTATTTAATAAGGTACAAATAACTTGAAATTTAATTTTGTTAATATGTAAGTTTTTATGAAACAGTGACTTATTTCCTGCAACAGATCTGATAATTTAGGTTGTAAATAAATAACCCAAATTTTATTTATTTTAAGCTTTAAATACTAAGATGCTAATATAAATATATTATATTACTGTAAATATAATATTTTGAAGGGAGTCTGATGGGGGAAAAAACTCTTGGAGGAGAGGAACTGACCATCATTACATTAATTGTCATACATTTACAATTATATATATTATTTGTATGTTTTATTGAAAAGTAACTTTAGTTTTAGATGTATAATTCTTTATATACTAAGAATGTTTCTGAAATATGTTTTTCTCAGCCTTTATGAATTATATAATAAAAGAGGATTAAAATCAAGATGCATTTTATTGGGTTCTTTTCATCATATATTAAAATATTTATAATCATTTTCTGTTAATTGCATTTATATGATCTTGTTATCATGTTATTTTTATGCTTTTAGGAAACTGATGTGAAACAAGGGGATAATGAACTGTATTTTCTTAATGATTCTCCGGTGAGTAATTTCATTTCTGAATTTATTGCCATTGTTTAAATAGTTACTAAAATATTCTGAAACAGTACTTCCCATCGGTGAGCTATAGGGACTTGTGGGGCTTGCCCATACCCTTTGTTAAATTTGTGAACCCTTGTATCTAATTTGTGAGCTGCTTGTTCTTTTTCTTTGTTTAAAACAAACAATTTAATTCTGTATTAAAGTCAGAGGAATTTAAAGAATTAATAACTGAAAGCATAAGTAGATTTTGCAAATTATCTTTATAAATTTTACTAAACTGCTTTATAATGTCTTTACAAAGGTGACCAGATTTTAACATTGGGAAAGCGAGACACCATTGTCCGGGAGGGGGGAGGGTTCTTGATTAAAAATTTGGTCTATATGGAGGAACTAAAATTTTCATAGATCGCAAAAATAGTATTGAAATATATTTTTTTTAAATTTCAATGCAAGTACAAATTGCAAATATATTACATTATAAAATGTAAAATTAATACAAAATAAAAAATTATGTATCATATTTTATGCATAAAATGTCCTTCAAAATGTCAACACTTAAAATTGTAATTTTTCGGATGTCCGCATGTTATTTACCGTAAAAAAAATGCATTCAGTCTCAGCATTAGTTCCTGGTAAGAACAGTGCATATTCCACAATTTTTACTGCATTATTGTATGGACAAAATTATGAAATATTTCTAAACATTTGTTCTCTATTGTGATTTTTGCTGATGCCCAATATTTAACCTTTTCATTATCAATATACTTTTTTAATAATGATACCTCATTAAAAAGATCATGTTCAGAAGGGAAATTTTGAGTAATATGATCGAATGATTTTTTTCACATCTTCCAATTAAGTTCTTGTTTTAATGTAACCCAATGGAAATGTTCCATATCATTGTAATGTACCGTCCACTCTTCTAAATAAACTATGCATTTATTATATAACTTTTTAATGTGATTCATAATATAGATCAATTTTAGGGCCGCTCATTTATATATTCTACGTCGCAGATTTCCCTAAAGTGCAAATCAGTCAAAGCCATTTCTTTGGATGCTACGCGGATCACATCGTGTTAGCTAGTAAATACAGGAGAGCTGAGCTTGCTGATAAAAAGCTTCAGGATATTATGCCTTTAATTGAAATTTGGTCCTCTAAGTGGTGCATCTGCATCAATCCATAGAAATCGCAACTGCTTATTATTTGACGTAAATCCGCCAGGACTCCTCTCATTGTTATTCTGAAATTATTCAACACTGATATTCCCACTGTAGACAAAGCAAAGTATTTAGATATCACCTTTAATACTAAACTTACCTGGATGGATCATATCATGAAAGTTAAGAGAAGACCTTTGGTATTATTAACCGAGTGACGCCTTTAATAGGCACGTACTCTGTCTTAAAACTTCACAAGAAAAGGTATATCTGCATAACTATAATTAGACCTGTGTTTGCCTGCCTGGGCCGCCTATGCCAAGATAGATTTGCAAAATAAAACTTTACGGATGATTACAAATGCACATTATTATGTGTCTAATGAAACCCTGCACAAAGACCTCAATATGGAATATGTAGATAGTTATCTACACAAGACAAATAAAAACTTTTTTCATAAAGCACTTACTTGTGCTCACATGAAGCACTTCAATGTATTTGATTACTTCACACTTGAGGGACTTTGAAATTAGACCGTTCGCAGCTCACCTGACCAGGGAATTTCCTATGTAGAATGTCTATCGCATAAGTCCTCAACATATCTGCTCCCTTATTATTTGATTGCACATTGTAAATGTACTGTTCACTTAGTTATTTATGTATTCTCAGGTATGTTTATGTATTCTCACAAAACTTATGTATTTATATGTTTTCTTATTTTGTATTTTTACTTATGTGTATGCATTAATTTTCAAGTTTGAATTTTCACTTAAAATTTTCACTGTACCCTCACAGCACATTACGTCAGTTGTTAGATTCATCGTCTTGCATCTCCATTGTTCGCTTTCTATCTTGCTTGGCTCGTAGAGCCTTTGTGATGCATGGTCACCCCCCGCTTCTCACCTTTGACCTTTCTGCCATTTTCCCAGACTACTCTGTGTCATCAGCCTATGGCAAAATTGTTACTGAGCTGGATACATTGTGCTAAGCGTGATATCCTGGCCGATACCTGCACCAAACAAACGAATGATTCATAATATCTGCGCGATTTATTGCACCTTGTTCTTCTAGCTGGCTTATACTATTATGGATAGTTAACGGAAGAAAATTATTTTCTAACCACTCTTAACACTAAAATTTTAAATTCATTTTTACTTCTATTACCGAAATTTTGTCACCTTCAATAAGTTTTATAGAATTTCGAAAAAGAGTTGCTTGATTGTGTACAAAGTCTGGCCAAATTTTTGAAGATTCTAAAATTTAGGACATTTATCCTGTGATAGAAAGTAAGATTTCAAGCGATCGTATATTTTCAAAATTCTTTCGATAGCTGGCAAAAGAGCTAACCAGCAAGTTTTACTACGTATATCTAATCGTAAGTATTTTCTCATATTCGACTTCCGTAGTTTCAGAAAATTCTTTAAGCATGTCAACGTGCACTGTGCATATATAGAAATAATATATTTCAATAACAATATTTTCCACATCTACGGGTTACAAGTCAGCAGCTGTTTGAATGCTGTTATGTATTATGTGCATTGCACAGTCAACACGAATAATGTTTTGATTAAAGTTTTTGTTTAATTTATAAAAAGTATTATTTGTACCTCTTTTCGCTTTTTCCTCCAAAATTTGCATTTGTGTTCTTTGCACGATATGCAATCATTTTATGTTTTAAATTGTTTTTCTTTTTCAAAATATTAATATTTGAACTGAAAATTATTTCAGAAGTTTCACCAGGAAAAGAAATGAAATATAAAATTCTAATTTTTATTCCAATTTCCAAATCAAAAAAACTAATAATGGTTGGAAATAACTGTATATCCTTATGATTAGATGCATCAGAATATATGGATATAAAATTAATTTTTTATAGATATTTGTTTAATTCGGAAAATGAATATGGGAAAAGCACATTACACACAATTGCCTCGGATTTTGTTCTAGGCACAGGCAAACTTTTTGTTGGAATAACTTTCGGACAACTTGTGATGTACATTCCATAGATCTGAAGGAATGACTGTGATTAATAGCATGAAAAGACATGTCTTATTGCTAATGCTAATTTCTTTTCTTTGTCTCTATAGTTATTTTCTGAAAAAATTCCTGAATTTTGGAGGAAGATGCAGGAGTATTTAAACATTTTTTATGTTTCTGTGACTTTAAGTGATTTGAAATATCATTGTTCCCGCTGTGTGAAATAGGAAATTCACCATTACATTTCTCACATTTTAGCATGTAATCGCCTTTGGTATTTTTAATAAAAGGAAATTTACATAAAAAATAGTTCATCGTTGAATAGTTATTAGTAGTTCATCGTGGAATTTGCACCCTCTTCTTTTAGTCATTATGTTAAAAATCTAATAAATAAATAAATAAATAAAAATTATATTATAAATTATTATATACGTATTGCTCAAAAACACAGTAAATAAGTACATAATTACATGAACATATTGCATTGTTAGTCCATAAATTAAATTAATTTGATTGTTATAAAGTTATAAAATACTTTAAAAATTATTTTATTTTTAATCCTATATTTCTTTCTAAATAATAATAGTATTGTATTATTTTTCTTCTGAATTTACCGTAACATAAGTCGTTAACGTGTTACTTTCGAGGCCGGTGCTAGAGTTTTTGCTGCCACTATAAAATATAAATAATATAAGTAATGTCTGCTAAATTCAAGAAAATTTTTGTATTTATGAAATAAGTTACTTACCTAAACTATCTGAATAGCTCATTTGTTAACATCACTTTTTAACTAGCACTAATGCGATGTGTATCATCTGAGAGACAGTTATAAAATGTTTTCTTCATGTTCAATGCCAAAATATGCCATTGTTCATTAAGTCCAAACAATGGTGATTGAATTCTAACAATTGATCAACAATATGAACTTTGATAAGCAGTTCTTGACAATCCGTTCTCAACAATTATTTGTTATTACTAAAGTTTAACATAATAAAATTAACAAAAATAATATAAAACTCATATCCTGGCAAAATAGCCAGATGGTCGCCGAAAACTGTATATTCCCTTATAAGGTATTCGTCCTGCTTTCTTAGCATGCCTTCGTAGTGTAGTGGTCAGCACGCTCGCCACATATTCGAGAGGTCCATGGTTCGATTCCCCACGAAGGCATTGCTCATTTTTTATGTCTCCTACTTCAAAAATATCTAAAGTATCTACAGTGGCGTCCAAACTACTAAAAGGGTGGTGAATCATGATTCTCCACACCCAGGATTTGGTGATTGGGTCCAATAAACCCCAGTTGCCCTTTAAAAAGGGGAGCATGTAAGGTATTTCTCCCGCCTTCTTAGCAGGCCTTCATAGAATAGTGGTCAGCACGCTGGGTACGTATTCCAGAGGTTCATGGTTCGATTCCCGGGGAAGGCATTGCTCATTTTTCATCGCTTCTGTTAAAAAAATATTCTAATGACTCTACACCTTTCCTGTTTTCCTGGCATTCCCTAGCTTATCATGCTTCCAAAAATCTGGACTTTTTTAAAATGCCGTGGGACAAATTATTAAAAATCGGGATCAGCCCACCAAGAGCGGTACGTCTGATCACCTTATCTTTACGGAATGTATTATGGAAGCAAAATGATTATGAGATGAAAGATGGAAATAGTGAGACCTGAATAATGAAACTTAAAATGGAACTTTAATGTTTGTTTTCCTAGAATATGAACATGTCCTTGACCAGAAGTGAGTAAAAGGATACAAAAATTTATTTTCATATTAAAACTTGAAATAAAAACTAATAATTTTCAGATTTCTTTTAAATAGCTTTAACTTGGAAACTGCATAGCAGAAGTCCTAACAGTATAAAGAAAGTTAAAGTCAATTATGTAGATTATTGCTTATTAGTAGTACTGAAGCTGAATGAACTTTTCAGCTTCTTGAACAGTATTTCCACGAAAAGTTCTCTTTTGACTGTAACATATATCAGATTTAATGACAGTTCCCTTAAATGGAAATTTTTAAGAGAATTTAATCCTGTGCTTTATATAAAAATTCTTCTGAAAAATCATCTTCAGGGCCTTAGAACCTACTTGAAAATTATCTGATATGAAAAAAGGATATGATGTATAGCAACTTCTGGTATAAACTAAGCCACATAATTAAATTTACTTTTACATTTTTATGTAATATTTTCTGGGTTTTTTTATTTATAGAATTAAAAAAAAATTGTTCATACACAATTACTTGAATTTTCTGTTTTTGTAATAAATTTAGTATTTAATTAGAATCTGATATTTTGTTTTCATAAAATAATGTGTAATCAAGTTAAAATTTTTGGTAAATACCACTTTTCTCAATCCTTCTTTAAATCTGCATTCATCTTTGTTAAAAAGCTGTTAGAAATACTGCTGATTTTTTAGGTTCTGCAAATAAAATATTCCTGCAAATCAAGTTTAACTTAAATTTAATTTCTTTGTATATGATAGAGTTGTATTTTTATCAATTACTTTCACATGAGTGATTATCTTAGGAAGGTTTCTTCGTATATACTACATACATAATGTATAAGGTTGCCTAAATAGTGTCAGATACTCTTGTATTGGCTGTGATATGTTTAGTTTCTGACTTAATTTCTACTATTAAATAATGAAGAATCTGTTTATATGCATGGGTGTATATTCATCACATTATGGAAAAACGACAGCACCTAGATCCACCAAATTTTGAATACCCATAGTTCTTCAGCCAAAGAAACATATGCACTTTAAGCCCGAATTTTGAATTTTTCTGTTTATTAAATTTTTTGCATGAATATAATGAATTTTTGCTTAATAAACTCAATAGTTTGAAAGAGAGCTATGACAACACTGATCGGAATAATGACAGTTTTATCTCCAGCACGCCTATAGTACAAATATAAGACTTGCCATTCAACAAAATGTAACATATTTATTTTTCAATTTTAATCAACAAACTTGGCTATTTTAAAAGTAGTGTGTTGCCAATGCCTGATATAAAATATTTTGATCTTCCACTTGCGAGCATGTTGCCATTCAGTTAATTGAAAGTTATTTAACTGTCTTTATTCTCTCTGTTACTGAGCAGCTAACTAATCAATGAAGCAATAAGTGCAGTTCTAAAAAGAACAGTTTGTCTACTTTTTAATTTGATTGGTTTAAATAAAAAAAATTATATCATGAGATGCCATATTAGAAATATTAAGTATTTTTATGAAATTACTGTAGCTGGAGTCATAGGACCATTTACCTTACAAATGGCTAGTCTATTAAAAATCTGGAATTGAAATGAGTTTGGAAAATTTCCTTTGTTTTCAGTATCTATGCCATAAATGCAAATGCTTACAAAATTTGGTACCTTTTGGGTAATAGGGTGTCACTCATAACTGTGTGTCTTTTTATTTCATTTCACATGCTACTGTGAAGTTATGGTAAGGTAAGTAGGAAGAATAAACATCAATCTCGTAATTTTTTCTTCAGCATTTCCAATCAGTTTTTTGTTAAAATTCTGATTTTAAAAAATGGAATTCCTGAAATAAACTTTCATAACGTGGGGTTTCGGAGAGTATCTGCTTTTGGTAGTCAACTGTAGGGCTTCAGTTTGCGTGTAGGTCCGATTACCCCTAACACAGGAGTCTTGTGTTCCCTTGTTGGGCTTCTTAGAGGGTGGAGTGGCCAGACCCGAATCTAATTTCTTTTCAACAGGGATCAGATATATCAATTCGTATGATTGTATGTCTCGATTCTAGTCAAGTCCAAAATAACTCAATCTTCTGAAAAGTCTAAAGATACCCATCGACACTAATGCCAATAATCCAAAAAATTGTCTGTGTTTTCTAGTTGTCTCTAGTCCAGTGGTTCTCAATCTTTTGACTAATACATACCACCTAAACAAAAATTGAGGAACTTTAGTACCACCACTACATTTTACAATGATTATTTTTCAGTTTCTAACTAGAAATGTTAAAAAAATATTTTGCCATTTGCACAACATATTGGCTATATATATTAAATATGCACACTTAAAATATATTATATCAAAAGATGGTTGCCATTTTAATTATCAAAATTTAATTCTAAAATTTGCTGTGAAATCTGGACCTCTTTGAGATCAATTTGTTCCTGGCTGATCTTAGTTTTAACCTTAAATTAGAATCCACTTTTAATTTTATTTGTATTTATTTTTCAAATATAACATGGAAGAAAATCCTTGTTCATACAAATAGGTTGTGCAAAATGGCAATAAAAACTTAATAGCTTTATTTGAAATGCCTTTAAATTCTTTTTTTCGGTTCAGCCAAAAGTCTACAAGTGTGTTATTTTTGAAATTTTCAGTTGTTCGATCACAGGAAATTTCTATCAATTGTTCTTTTTCTTCATGAAATGTTTGAATTTGATAGTTAATAATAATTTGTTTCGTTGCATCCAGCTATTTTTCTCTTTCGTATCACCAGTCATACGCATGCCACCAGTTGAGAATCACTATTCTAGTCATTCTGGTGTGCAAGATGTTTCCTTCCTTAATAAATAAACACATTCATTCCTGTGTTAGTGAGTTTCAAAATATAAAGTGTCTCTATTCTGGAGACTTGCTTATTGATACGACTTCGGCCTTCCAGTTTGCTTCCTTACTTATTACCAATCTTGGGCACCGTCGCTGTAATAGCACATAAGACATATCTGGTTGATTGACACAAAACACATGATCTTCATTTTCAACTCGCCTGATCTGCTAAAAAATATAAAAGCTGGATTTCTTAATTGTCCTGCAAGACCATATATTCCACACCAGTGGGTTGCTTCCAATGCCTGTGTTTTGTCCATTCCCAAGATTTCCTGTCGTGGCAACTAGACGTGTGCTTAGTGTTTGAAGATTGGGGACAATAGTGAAAATTGCATGGATGTGTCATTGCCATAATTTGCAAGGGTGAACACTCTCTCTAGTATTTTTTCCTCCTGCCCAAAGTGGAAATCGGAAAAGGAAATTCAGGCAACAAAAGTGACAGGAAATGCTTATGCTGAAGCCAGAAGGATATTTGAAAATTCACAACCATGATTAAGTAAGTCTTTCACTAGTCTTGTAAAATCAGCTAGGTCTATCACTACTCAAACCTCTCTCAGTAGACCTTTAGTTCTACCATCAAGTATTCTAGAACCTGCAGAAAATAATAAAAACAACAAAAAGAACCAACACATATAATACCAATAAATAAATAAACTATAGTTGAAAACAAGGGGAAAAACTGCTAACAAAACATTAATCAAGAGTTGAAGAATTAGCAATAGCTCAATAGGTGACATTATTTTGGAATCAATAGACTCAGATAATATGGAAGTGGAAGATAGATTAGAAATTCCCAAACATCTTCCATGCCAAACCAAACAGCGGCACAGAAAGAATAAATATTATACTTAATGGCCACCCTAATCTCATGGAACTGTTGCAGGTTCTACCAAAATCTCGATAGCATCAAACATATGATCAGTGTCTATCATTTTGTTTGTTTGGCAGTCTAGAAGACCTCAAACAAGAGCAACAAGCAAAACTTTGGAAGTTTCCCTTCACGAGGAAAGATAAAACAGTGGGACCTCGAGATATGAGCACCTCTATATAAGAGCAATTTGAGATATGAAGAAAGCATGAGTGAAAAATGTGTCTCTAAATATGAGGATTGACTTGAGTTACGAGCAACTAGCCAGGCTGTTAGTATGCGTAGCACATTTCCCGATCCGGCTCGACCTCGGGGAATACCCCTCAGTTTTCTTCGATCTACATGTTTGTGCGCTTGTGTGTTAATTGTTCTTTACTTTAAATGTGAAAATAATTATTTCACAATGCCTCCCAAGAAGACTGTTGCCCCAGATAGTGCGGCAAAGAAAAATAAGGAAGCCATGGCCATTGGAATTAAGAAAGAAATCACAGATAAACATAAACGTGGTGTAAGAATGATGGAATTGGCAAATACTTGTGGTTGTTTGACATCAACAATCTGCACTATTCTGAGGAAGAAATTAAGAAACTTGATTTGGCCAAAGGAGTTACCGTTACATATAAGCACTGTCCCAAACTCCTAGAAGATGTTGAGAAGCTGTTGTTGGTGTAAATTCATGAGAAGCAGTTAAAAGGCAATTCATTGTCAGAAGCTATTATTTGCGGCAAGGCTAAGAATCTGTACTTAGACCTTCTCCAAAAAACACCAGGTACGTCAAGTGAAGATGAGATGGCAATAATAATTTTGGAATGGATTAACTGGATTTCCATTATTTTCAATGGGAAAGTTTGTTTCTAGATAGGAGAAATTCACTATACAAGCTCAATGCGGGAACAAATTAAGAAAGAAATATCTCGAGGTTCCACTGTATGGGTGAGCGTAGTTGTAAAGTTGTAGGTATCCTTGCTGAACTTAAAGCTGCATTGAATGCTCTCCATTTGACAATGTTCCTCCAAACTGTCGCTTTGCAGATAAGCTTTCATAATCTGGTTTCAGTTTGCTCTGTTCATTCACCACCTAATGATCACATCGACCAAGCAGACAGATTTGAATGACCTTATAGAGCAGCTGCCTGAAACTTTCATCTTACTAGGAGACTTTAATGGTCATAGCCTTCTCTAGGGAAGTAAGTATTTGAACTCTTAAAGGAAGCAGATTGAGAAAGTAATTGAGGATCACCCGTTATGTTTGTTAAACGATGGTCAGCACACTTACTTCCATCAACAAGGACTTCTCATACAGCAGATCTTGCTATTTGTCCGCTGTCAGCTTTGGCAGTTTGTTCATTTAGTGTTGGAAATGATCTGTATGGGAGCAATCATTTATTAGATCATAAATGATCTCTTCTCCTTTGAGTTTCAAATTATTCTATTAGAAGTTCTGTGCATTTTGGTTTTGATAGAGCAGATTGGAACTGTTTTTCAGCAGTGGTAGAAATGATTGAGGAAATGGTGAACTATGTGCTTATCAATGAAGCAGTGAATGTCATCAGAGACATCATCATCCAGGCAGCTGCAACCTCTATACCTCGATAATCAGCAAATCATCATAAATATGAAAACCATAGTGGAACCATGAATGCCAATATACTTTAAGATAACAGAGTAAAGCTGGGGACTTTTCCGTAAGTGCCTCACTTTGTCAAATCTCATCACCTTCAAAAGAGCCAAAGCAAATACAAGAAAAGTAAGATATCAGAGCTAGAAGGTTTCATGGATTTCCTATCTGTGATCAATAACTTCCTCTATGCCAAGTAAACGAGTATAGGAGAGAATTAAAAAAGGATGCAGAATATATAAAAATCATTCACTCTCCTTACTGGGAAAAGATGGCTAAGTGCTAAGCACCACAGAAGAAATTGTGTTGTTGGGGAGACTTTTCCTGTGATCTCTAAAAGCAGCTGTTATCCACCAGAATTTTTTCCTTACAAGGTACACTCCGAGAAAATTCCCATTGTGTTCAACTCTTCCAACTCTGAGCCTTGTAATGGTAATTTTAACATGCTTGAACTAAGGAGAGCTTTGTTATAAACACATAGCTGTAGTCCAGGTCCAGATGGTATCAGTTATAAAATGTTGAAACATCTGTCCTGCAAGTGATTGACTCTGTCCTCACTCTTGATAATCAATTGTATAAAGGAGCATACTTTTCCCAATGTATGGAAGAAAGCTGGAGTCATTCCCTTAGCTAAGCCAGAAAAAGAAATGAAGAATCTCTAACTTTCGGCTGATCGCGCTGACCAGTTGTTTCTGCAAGCTATTTGAAGAAATGCTGAACAACTGCCTAGTCTGTTACCTGGAAAAGCTCACCATATCAGAGTGATTTTTATAGAAGTAGGATACCTGTTGACTATATGTTACTTTTAGAAACCTCTAAATCCGTAAAGCCTTTGTGAAAAGAAACCATCTACTAGTTTCCATATTCTTTAACATTGAAAAGGCTTACAATAAGGCATGGAAATATGGCATTTTGCATGAAAATCATGCTAGTGGCAACCTGCCAATTATCATCCAGAATTTTCTGAAGGCAAGATCTTTTTAAATGAGGATTGACTCTATTTTGTCAGAAAATTTTCAACAAGAGGAGGATGTGCCACAGGGTTGTGTTTTAAGTGTTACTTTATTCAATCAAAAAATAAACTCTCTTTTAAAGGAACTTCCTCCTGCCATTTCAAGATCCTTGTACATTGATGACCTCCAGATCAGTTGTCAAGTTGCAGATTTGAGATATATGAAGAGGCAATTGCAGATCACTGTATACAAGATTCAGGAATGTCAAATAGGACACTGTTTGCATGAAGTTCAGTAGAAGGCAATATCTCCATCCTGAGCCTCAGCTTTAACTTCAAGGGTTACCGATTTTGATTATATCCAAAGTAAAATTTTTAGGAGTGTTGTTTGACTGAAAGCTGTTCTTACTCTCACATTGCAGTACTTGAGGAAGAAGTATTTGAAGATTTTATATATTTTAAAAAGTTCCACCAAACACCTTCTAGGGTGTGAAATGCGGCTCATTGCTCCATATCTACAGAGCACTTGTCTGCTCAAGATTGGCCTGTGGTTCAGTCTATGTATCAGCATGATCTTCAGCTTTATTGAAACTAAATCCCATTCACCATCAGGCTCTGCATATATGTTCTGAAGTCTTCAGAATATCTCCAGTCCAGAGTCCTTATATTGACTGTTATGAACTGTTACTTAAGATGTGAGCATTTTTCTGTCCAATATTATTTCATCATAATATCACAAGCAACTGTCCTCGGATTCTTTTGCTTGATAACACGTGTGACCACTTATTTGGAGTGTGCCTTCCTTCTCTTAGGGCTTTGTTCACTGAAAGGAAATTACTGCGTGGATGATGTGGATATCCAGGCAGTAAAATATTTTTAAATTCCACCTTGGGAAGATGCTCAAATTCGGCTTCTGCATGCCTTCCAGCGTCTTGAAAACATAATATGGATGAGATCATGTACAATGAAATTTGTTTTGAGCACATAGAAGAGTACAGTAGTTCTATTACCATTTATGTGGATGGGTTAAAAGCAGCAAATCAGGCTGGAGCGGCCTTTGTAATTGGAAACCATGCGGAGGGTAAACGTTTACAAGAGGTGTGCTCTGTGCTTACTTCAGAATTAAGTGCCTTGTGTTATGCACCTTCTTTTATATTCAGACAATACCAGAAAATGTTGAAGAAGATGCTCAGAATCTGCTAATTGATAAAATCCAAAGTATAAACCTAAAGTTGAGAAGTCGGACATACAGGGAAATGAGCTAGCGGATATCACTGCAAAGTCTGCTTAGAAATGGTCATGTCAGCTTGTGCCCTACAGAGATATTAGGAGTCATCAAACGAATCCTCATAAATGGCAACTTTCCTGGAATAAAACAGCTTACTAATAAGTTGAGAAGTATAAAACCTCAAGTAGAGTATTGGAAGACCAATAGAAAATAGAAGTAATTTTAACCCATCTTAGAATTGGTCATTCTTGAATTACACTCGATTACTTGTTAAAAGCCGAGAGTGAACCTCTTTGTACATATTGTAATACTGTTCTGTCAGTGCGTTACTTTGTAGTAGAATGTCTATATTTGAACAGACTTTGAATGAAGTTTTATAATGACTGTGACTTGCCTGTTGATCATATAATCTGGAAAGATGCCATTACCAATTTATTTCAGTGCTTTTAAACTTGTATTTATCTATTATGTGTGCTTGTAGAAGTATAAAACTTGCATTCAGTATGTATAACCTTTAACATTTTGTGCCAGAATTCCAATACTACTACTGCTGCTATTATTTGTTGCTTTGTTTTAAGTATAATGTTCATTTGTTTACATATCTATGTAAATTTTGCTATTATTCTGTAGGAAGATAAGATTGAAGGAAGTGCTTTAGATGAAGAATTTGGATCAGACCTGGAACATTCTTCTGGACGAGGAGTAGATGATGAAGATGCTCCAGGATCTGGGTTTGGACCAGATGATGATGAAGATGAAGAAGATGAAGATGCTGGTTCAGGTGGATGTAAGATAACTTATTTTGATGGGTTCTTCTTTGGTGCAGTTATTTGTGATTTAATTTGTGCACTGTATTTATGCATGGTTTTATTGTAATTTATGTTTATTACATTCTGAAATTTTGTGTTACTATGAGTGTACTTACCCTGTCAAATTTTGATTTAACATTATTTTTAATAACTTTTTATTTATTTCCATGTAGAATGATATTAGAATAAAGAAAATAGTTCAGAAAAGCTGTTTACGTATCTCAGAAATGAGTTATTTTAAATATGTAAATGCAAAATTTCTGCTTCAGCAGTTTAAATATTCAAGCCCCTTTTTCCTATGGGAGTACAAAATTAATAATTCTGTAATTTTTATAGTAATCGTCTAAGAACATGAAGAGGTAAATTAACATAATTTGCTTTCTTTTACAAATATGCTGGAAACTGAAAATATTGTTTAATAGTAATATTTAAGCTTAACTCAGCTAAGTAGTATATAAATTAATTCAAATGTATAATTAATGGCATCTTTTTATAGTTTTTATGCTTTACCTTGTTTTTGCAATATTTTTAAAACCATCCAGAAATTAAAAGTCTAGGATTATACAAATAAATATTTGAAAAAAGTATAATTATAATATAGTTAGTTAATATACTTCTTCAGTATATGATTTCATGAATGACTAGCAGGTAGGCATACTTAGATGATAAAGGTATAGTATATTATGTAATAAGATGGGAGATTACGTAAGTATATCCAAAAGTGAGAGGTAGCAAATTTCTTACCCTTATGTTCTATATCTGCTTTTGCATAAATTTTACCTTCAGCAATAGTGCATATTTAAAATGAAACTGCAAGGTATTTTAACCCTCTGGCTGGCAAGGGTGTATTCATATATGACCTAGGATATTTTTTGTGACAAAGGCAGTGTAGGAAAAGTACATAAATCCACATATAAAAGACCAAAGATACTTTGGCATTAAAACAAAGAAAATACCTCTCTCTCTCTCATGGCAGTTTTGGAAAATTTCAGCTTTCTCAGCAAAAGTGCCAGTCAGAGGGTTAAAGGAAGTTTTTTTTTTTTTTTTTTTTTGTTTGTTTGTTTTTTTTAGTTGAGCAAACAAAATTCTACCCTTTGATCAATCTGTTTTGAATAAATATAATTTTCTATCAATTCTCAAACTAATGTGTCATTTTAAACTTTAGGTATATCCATTTAAACACCTGGTGGCAATTTCAGTTTTGACAATCAAGTTATGACATATATTTATGTTTTTTGTTATAAAAGTATTAAAATCCATGTTTATATGTATTCATAAAATATTATGTTAAAACAAAAAACTGTTTTTTTAATTTAAAAAATATCCAATATTATCTTAAATAATATTATATTCTTATTTATATATTTCATCTCATATTAACAGTTAGAATTTTTGTAATAAATTTTAGGTATATATCAGCGAAACCGCCTTGGTGCAGTTTAAAGATTTTTTTACTGAAGAAACAGAATGGCAACTGATAATTGAAAAAAAAAAAAAAATTACATGCATACGTATTTCATAGTTTAATTAAATATTTATCCTGAATTAATAGACACACTTACCAAAGGATTTTTGTTTATTTTGTCCTGCTAAAAATTTTGAGGAAATCACTTTAGGAATACATTCAAAGCAATGTTACCATGAAGTATGGTATTCCTGAAAAAGTTGTACTGCTGTTTATTCCATTGCAGCTAAAATCCCACAAGCACATACATATTTGAAAATTGAGTTTACAGCAAAAGAATATCACAATTTCTTCATGAAAATCGTTGGAGTTAGGAGTATGTTACAGGTGCTTCAAGAAATTTACTACCCAATCGTTTGTGACTCTGCAGTTTATTTGCAGTCCATAACTTGTTCAACATAACATTCTAAAGGAGATTTTTTTTTTCTTCTTTTTTTTTATCATTGGCTTGTTATACATTGCAAAATATTCTAAACTTCGCTTTTAGAATCAAAACATTTCATATGCATTGCCAATCTGAAAATCTTAACATGGAATTAAGTTATTGATATAGAACAATACAACATGATTTACGTAACAAAATATAGGAGAAAAACATATGAAAATAATAACTTTGCTTGTCAAAACTGAAATTGTCATATGCATGGTTGCCAGAATTTGGTGTGGTTTGAAAATTTGGTAACTTTACGTAGGTGCTTGCATTATTACATTAAGTACCAAATTTTATGGGGAATATAAAGTCTTCATCTTTTAATACAAGAAAATAAGCATTGCCTTGTCACTTTATGCGCTTTGGAAAGAAATTAGTATCAGTACTTAATTTAAGTGTACAGTTTTTCTTTTTCCTTGTTATACTTACCTTGTTAACTTTTTCCTTGTTATACTATAGCTACTTACTATACTAATACCATCACTACATAATGGAAACTTTTATTATTTACAGTATCCCCCTTAGAACACCCTCATAATCCAATAAAGACTACGACAATGTCCACTACAACTACTGTTAGAGTTAGGGTTCCAGATAATAAGGTATGTACTTTTGTTCTATAAATTAGGTGCTTTATTTTCTTTTCCTAAAATTAAATACATAATGTTACCAAAGAATAAACTCTTATGTTTTGGGATCCAAAACTGAATAAACCAGTTGTCATTAGGGTCAACACTTATAATGTGTGATATTTATTGCAGAGCAGTGCTATGTTCTGTTAGTGATACAGCATTTTTTTCCCCTAAATGACATGAAGTGAAATAATATGTTAATGCATCTGTGATTGGTGAATTTGTGCTCTTAGCATAAACTATTTAATGATTATCCATCATCTAGCTCCAAGCCCTGTTTATCCTAATATATAAGAAAGAATAAAAGCAAAACATTTTTGTAGTTGATTATTATAAGTTATGAAAAGCTTAAAATGTGCAGTCTTAATTTCTCGACTGCTGAATTTTTAATAGAATACTGTCTTAAAATAGTAATAGATATAAACAAAGCATGCTGTTCTAAATGTCTGGATCCTTTCAAATAAAATTTAGTGCTTTCCGTTTGAAATTAGTATGAGTCTGAAATTGAATTTTTGTAAACTTAAATATGTTGAACTTTTTTCAATTTTTTAAAAAATATTTCAATAATCTAGCTTAATTTTTCATCAAATGCTTTTGCGGCTTCAAAAACTTGTATTTTATGGATATGAAAATCTGCAGTCATTTGTATGCATAATGCAGTTTCTCATATCTATCCCTAAGCATCTGTTGATTTAGAAATCGATAAATTATGTATGGAAATATTTTTCATCATGCTTCAATCATTTGTCTGCTAACTGTTTTGTTGTTTTATTTTTATTTAACATTGAATAATAGCTTTAACTGTCATTGTTATTTAAAACATGAAGCAAAATTATTATTGTGATATGCTTCAGTGATCGTTCTAAAATTTTTATAGATGTTAAATCAATTGACACATTTTGTATCTTCAGGAATACCCACCACCACTTCCTGATGAGGAGAACAGAATACCTGATGCTTTAGAACCTGTTACTCATGAAACATCAACAAAAAATAATGTACATAATGTACCAGATGCAGTTCCAACCAAATTTACTGATTCAAATACACAGAGTAATGAAGTTCATATTATGGGTCAGAAACAAGAAGAAAGGCAAACATCATTTTTCGGCCAACCAGGAATACTTGCAGGTATGTAGCGAAGCATTCTTTTTATAAAACACTGTTGATTTCTAGGCTAACCTGAATTGGTTTCTTGGGTCATAGAAATAATACCATATATTTTATCTATCAATTTGTTTTAAGAGTTTATTTTGTACTGTGAGAGTTTATTTACTGTGCGTAAAATTATGATTCAGAACACATTAAAAAAGTAGTTTATTGGTGTAGTTGATGGACTGAAATGATTTTTTGAAATTCCATTCTATAATTTAATGGCTGTGATCCTAAACTGGTAAAATATTTCAGTTTACTTATGAAATGTCATAGGATTTTCTTATAAATTTTGATAATTCCAATTCAAGATGGTTGCTGAAAAAAAATTATGGAATCAATTTTGTATTGTAGTAAAAAGTGGTGTTGGTGAATCCTTTTATCTTGGAATAGTGGTTGTGCAGGTTAAAGAATCCTGCAATTTTTATAGATTATGTCTTTTTAAATTTTATTTACTTTTCCCCCTGTCTAATATTTTCAATTAATTTGAATTATTTGCACCTAACTAATCAAGTCATATTTTTAAGAGTTATTTACTCAAGATTTATTAAATTAAAAAATGTTAACCACTTAACAGATTCTTTTTTCCGTCATATTATGACAAAAAATAAGCATATTTTTGATAAACATTTTTATGAAGAAAGTCATTATATAAACCCAAATCAGCAGTCAGAACTATTACAAGTATTGAATTTATTGATTTATGCTAATTTTTATTTTCATCGTAAAAAGCACATATTTCCTTAAAGTTGGCTTTTTTCGAACAAGTAAGCGAACTGGAAAACGCACTTTACAAAAATAGATGTCAGAATTTAAAATGTTTTATTGTTATTACATATCTGTTCGATTCCAAAGAAGAATTATTAATATCAAGAAAGAAGGATTATTAATATCAAGTTCTAAAAGTTCCAAATTTGCGTTAGATTATCTATACTTTCCTGTTTCTTCATCACTGGAGAAGTCAGACAACAAAACTGTCATTATTTCCAGAATCATTTAGTGAAATTTCAGATTCACTATCTGAGTCAATATTTCAGAGTTATATCTTCAGTTATAAGCTTGCTCATTATCATTCATTTCTTCTTTTATTTTAGCTCCTAAATTTCAAAAGAAATAGTATTCGCAGTAGCCGGAATACCGGAGCTAGTGAAAAGAAATTTTGCGCCTTTATTTGCATAAAAGAATTCAGTAAAACCTAACCTTGAAACCCAGTTGCTTTGCAATTCTAACTTTACTGGACTACTAGCGCCATCTGTTAGAAACATTACACACTAAACAAGGAAAAAATTCGGGCAAATCAGTGTATTAGTCTAGAAAAAAGTTGTTGCCCGAGCGCCGCTCGGGAAAATCAAAGAAGTGCCATTTCCAAAGTACCCGAACGGCGTTCGGGCAAAACTGGGAAGTGGTTAAATGCATTCATATACAAAGAAAATAAAAACAAGTACAAGAAAAAAACACAGTGTAGGAAAAAATTGAATTATATTTTTTAAAGAAAATAAACTTTTTGTGAAAATGTATTAAAAGTTTTTTATGTAAAGAAGCTGTAATGCTTTCAAAGTAATTTTTACAATCTTAAATGAGAGGAAAAATAGATAGATAAATAAATAAATGCACTGTTTTTACCATATTCAGCTGAGCAATTTTTCTTAAACTGAATTTCTGTGTTAATCCTACCATTATATTCAATGCACGTGCATTTAACAACATTATTAGCAGTTTACAAAAAGTGCTAGAATTGAAGTTTTATGTATAAAAATCTCTGCTACAATGTTTAATGCCATAAAAAGGTGTCTGCATAGGTTGTTTTTAAAAATTTATCCCTACTGCTGGTATAAACGAACTCGTGTGGCAGAGTCGTAGCTAGGGTTTTCAGCACCCAGGGACAACTGAAGATTTCGCGCACCTACTGCTTGCCAAGGATAGAAAACATTTAATTCTATAATTTCGTAATATCAATTTGGCACCCCTTGGATGCTGCGACCGAGTACAGATGTCCTCCCTTGCCCCCCCTCTAGCTACGCCTCTGTTGTGTGGAATGTAAGCAAACCTTTATATAAGATGCATTAAATTTGGAATTCAATATCTATCTGAAAAGTTATAGGTAAATAAAGTCTTTTGACATTTTAACTGTGTAAGTTCAAAATTGATTTAAATAAATGGAATATACACCAAAAAATATATCTAAACTGAAAAATTTGCAGGTTCGTGTTCCTTGTGTGCTACATCAGATAGAGAGCATTAAAGCATGTGCAGAATTTTCTGCATACACATGCTACATAATTTTAGTTTTAAAGCTGAATTTTTTAAAAATTAAGTTTTTGTTTGCTTTCAAATATGAGTATAGATTACAGGTACAGGACAAAGTCCATAATCTGGACGTCCTTTATCCGGAATGATCTATAATCCGGACCTCAAAGCCACAAACTTACGCATGCATGTTTGGTGCGCACGTCCGCTATGCATGCGCATAAAGCTAGTAAGGCATTTACCTATGTGCGCTTCCAATAGTGAAGAAAGGAACAGAGAACGTTATTGAAAACGAAAAAATTTTGATTGACAAGTTAGTCGGTATTCTCGTCACAGCAATTACAGGACTTGAACAGTGGAACTTTGTAACTGAACAAGAAATTATGTCTGTTTATAGAATTAAAGAGAAAGTATTAGCACAAAAAACGAAGCAACTTAAACAACTTACATTGATAGAAATGTTTACTAAAGTAAACAAATAAATATTAAGCTTTTTTTTTTTTTTTTTGTAAATTTTGATGCCCTTTAAAATCATAATTGCTCTTTATTTCATAAATTATGGTTTCATATTTTTAATTGTATAATTTCTGCATGCCATCTTACCAGTTTTTAAATTGATGATCTATAATCCGTAAAAACCCCTAATCCAGAATTGCTGAAGTTCCGACGAGTCCGGATTATGGACTTTGTACTGTATTAGCAAATTTTTAGAATGCTATTGTAATATGTATAACTTTTATCTTGAATTTAACAAAAAGTGCATAAAGTTTTCATTGTGTTGCTTAGTTTTTATTTTGACTGTATTATTGAGTACATTTTAATATTTTTACAGCTGTCATCGGAGGAGCTGTTGTTGGCCTGCTTTGTGCCATACTTTTGGTTATGTTTATTGTGTACCGAATGCGGAAAAAAGATGAAGGAAGCTATGCATTAGATGAGCCAAAAAGGTCTCCTACTGTAAATTCGTACACACGCAGCAGCAACAAGGAGTTCTATGCTTAACTATCTTGTCAAAATTGAATGAAAGGAAACACAAACTTCCAGGATGGACTTTTTTAATTTAGATATATGGAGAGGAGGTTATTGAAATGTGTGAGTGATAAAGAATGCAAGTCCTTCTTCAGACATCTCTGGTGCACGCAGCTAGAACTCTTTTTGAATGTAATGAGCTGCAGTTGCTGCGTTTTCACAGAACCAAACAATGCCATTGTCATATTTTTGTTCATTCTGTTTGTTGTTTGTTAATGTTTGAACTGAGTTGAGTTACTTGGATTCACCTTTACCTTTTGAACATTTTGCTGATTGCTACTGGAATGTAAATGTAGTAAATCAGATCAGCAGAAAAAGGGCTTCTTTCCTTCTAGCCCTCACTGCATCTAGAATGGCACCCTTTTCCATAACATCAGTTGTGTTATAGATGTCGTAGATGTGCATATGTAACTGACTCTCACTTATTTCCTTTAATATCATGTAAATACAGGGGTGACTGTTGAGGAAATGTCAGTTATGATTATAATTTTAATGCATTTTTTTCCCCTTTTTAATAAAAAAAAAATTACAAATCTTTTTTATGCTACACCAAAACATATTGTCATAAAAATTATAATATCCCAGATATCTTTTTAAATCATAAGTATAGTGTTATAACATGGATGTTTACTCAGTCACCCCTGGCAATGGTAATTACTAGCTAAAGGGGGTTATTTATTACAAACTTTAGACTTATGTCATATATATGATTTACATTGCTATTATTGCATGATACAAATTATACCTTTGATGCAGTAACATTCCATACCTTTTCTTGTAGTTAAATATTCTTGATGCCTGTCAAATGGTAAAACATGTCCATTGCATTTCCGGACCGTTATACAATCTGTCGTTTAAATAAATGAAGTGTTTACATAAAACAAATTTTCTACAAGTTTTGTCAGTGTTGAATGTATTATGAGTAATGATATTTTTAGCTGTTTCCCGTCTGAGAATGAAATATCTGCTCATTTTTTAATTGTATTGAAATGTTAAAACTATATTATACCAATGCAGGCATTTTTGATATTTTCCCAACTTGCCATTTTCACTGTGCTTGCTGTAGATATATTTATTTAAGTATCTTCTTTTATCTGTTTTTACCATATAGCTTAAGGAATTTTAATTTAAAATAACTTTAAATGCTTTCAGTACTTTCATTCAACTAAACTTTTCTTTTTTGAAGTTAGAGTAATCAGTCACTTCCACAAAAAGATCTTTTCATTTTGTATAAAAAGAGAACAGCGGAATGTGACAGTTTAATGAATTATATTAATGACAATCTTGGGCTGGTTGTCCATGTTTATATTTCCTCTTTCATTGTTTCCTTCCTTATTATCAGTTGTTAAATTTTTTTTGGGGGGGGAGAATAAGTTTCTATTTAAATTTGAAATTTTTTTTTTTTTTTTTTTTTTTTTTTTTTATAGTATGCCGATAAAATTTTAAAATGACACTAACTTTTGAATTTACATGTATTATATAATTTTTTACTTTAATTAGCAATTTAGTTACATTATTTTTACCATTTTTTCATGTATTAAATCGCTCTAATATTACACATGATATATATATCTGCTTTTATTTTGTTATTATGTATGCTATATAGCATTTATTGTACATCTGCATTAAGTTCTACTATTTATTCAAGTCTCTTATTTGTGTACTGTGTTCATAAAAATGTTTGAATGCATGGTTCTTCTGAAAGGAAAAAAAATATGAATTAGAAATTTCAAATTTAATTTTTCTGAAACTGTTTTGTTTTGAAATAGTCAATCTCACATTCTTTGAAATAAATCCATAGCAAGTTTTATTTCATTAAGAGTTAGTAAATTTCTTTTGCCTAGTAACTTGGCATCATGGGAAAAGTTTAATAGTTTGGCTTTAGTGTAAGTTTTTACTTAATTTGTATTATAATGATAATTGAAATAATGTAAAAATTTATACCGTATTCTTGTTTTTAAATGTATTTTACCTAGTTAAAATTTTTTATATCGCATTTGAATACCATATAACATCAGTTTCATATCCTCATTTGGTATAAATAAAGAATTACTATACTACAAGTTTTAGAGATGGTAGTTTATAAAAGTCGGTAAGCTGTTTCCTGTGGGGATATTATAATGTCACAGTTAGGAATAATCGAATATGCCAGAAGTATGGTTTATTGTGATGATACATTGAACAAGTGCTAACAATGCATGTAATGGATATTTGATTTATAGAAAATTTTTATATCTGTATATGTATTAAAATTTTTCATCAGTGAAGATGTAAAAAGTGTGTTTTCTAAAGTAAATGTGAGTCTTGTGGATTAAGGTAAGGAATCGGTGTAACTGCTATGTGTACTGTCCAGTATGAATTTTTGTAAATTTTGTTTTATGATAGATTTCCTAATAATTAATACATATATATTATATTTAAGATGGTTTAATCATTTAGTATTTTTTAAATACTAAAACAGTTTCTAAAATTATGCTAGTAATTTCTGCTAACAGAAATTGTATTTATGCTTTTTTCTGTTAGATACATCATTTTATTCTGAAAATTTTTTATCATTTGTATCAAGATTATTTGAATTTCAAATACTTACAGTGTATTTTTATTTTAAAAATACAGTGGTTCCCTGGTTTTCTGTGTTAGTTAACCAGGCATAAAATAATACCTTTTAAACAAGTTAAATAGCAAGTTTAATAACTTTTATTTTATATAGCCTTGTTATTAGTTGTTAATTTGGGGGGGGGGGGGGTAATTTTCTATTTACATTTAAAAAGGTGCATGTTATACTGATATATTTTTAAAATTAAATTGTATTATATAATTTTTTTACTTTAATTAGCAATTTTCATTTTTTCATATATTAAATTATAGTTTTTATTATGTGAATTCTGTAATTTTAATAGTTTTTTTCTTTGAGTTTGCCAACTTTTGGCATCTTTAAATTGAAATAATCATAATTTTGATCTTGTAAATATGCATGTCCTTTTTCCTGTATACAGGTGAAAGATTATTAAAGGAAAAATTATTTTTTTAACTTCTTTAGTTTTAAGCTTTTTCAATCTCTGAAGTTTAAGACTAGATTTTTTTTTATTATTTTATTTATTTTTTTTTTTTTTTTCAATTTATTATTTGATTTCATTTGTGTTAATATTTTATTCTAATTGATTAATGTTTATTAATTTAAAATATAATTTGCATTACTTATGTATAGATTTATGTTATTGTTAAAGCTCAGATATGTTTCTACAATGCAAAATAGAAAAAAAAATAATATAAAAATAAATGGGATAACTCATGAAAAATCCAGTTGTTGTATGTTAATATTATTAATCTTAAGGAATCTGTTAATACTACTAACAAAAGAACCACTGTATTTTTAAAAAAAATTGTTATATACATATAATTATTCTTATATTATTTTCAAGATAGTGTGCTGTGTTTATTCCTAATCTGCACAAGATTTAATCATGACTATGGCACAAAAATTTGTTTGTTTTTTACATTTGAATATAGAAGTTGTGTAAATGTCTACCTGCATGCTTAGATAATATTCAGTATTTACATTTATGTGGTATAAACAAAGTAAATTTGTACAGTTGTAGTGTATGGTACTTTACATTTTTTAAGGAATATTTAAACATTTTAAATAGTTTACAAAAAACATTTGTAACTGAGACACTTACTTATAGTTTTTAAGTTATGCCAATTCCTGCTGAAGCTAAAAAATGCTTATTTGAACACTAACGAAAGAAAGAGGACCATTATGTATTTTATATCCTAGAATTAACCATTTCTCTTTTTAAATGGTAACTATGCAACACTGAAAATCAGTCTTGTTTTAGCTGCATTATACTCTCTTAACCCATGAAATATCTACTACCCATATGCCTTACATTTAAATTATGCAAAAATACTGACATATTCAGTATTAGGTTTTACCAAATTTAAGATTACTTCTGTTATTAGTGGAGTTATGATTTTAGTTATTTTGAATTTTATTACAAAGTATTAATTCTTGTTGAAACCTGGCCAAAATTATGTAAACCTCCCTTAAATATTTTATATGACTTTAAAATAAATAGAAAACTGTTATGATTATATTAACATCAGAACTGCATTACAGAATACTAAAAATATAGTATGTAATTAGAAGGTGGTTTCAATCATTTTGGAAGTTCTAAATAGGATAATCAAAATTTCACACCTGCTATTTTATAAGGTCAATGAAGAATTATGGAAAATACATACTACTGCACAGTGCAGTGAATGCAGTTGAAATAGTTAAAAATGTTAATTACTTGCATGATATATAATATGATCCAGTTTACCTGGAATGATTATACATCTAATATGGGAACTATGTTTAAAAGTCATACAGCAAACATATAGTTTAGTAACAATGCTGTGTTCATTATTATAGGTAGTTTTGAGTTCATGGATGCTTTGGTTATCTTGTTATAATGTTTTCGTTATCTTGTTATAAATGTAGGTAGGTAAAAAGTTTTCATCTTCGGAACATTTATTTCATTTAAAGCTTAATCATGGTTCCCCATTTGTGAAATCTATTATCAAGAACGAGATAAACAAGGATAATTTTAATCTACTTATATATTTCTTCTGTAAGCATTTTAAACTTATATAACAAGTGTTATAATTTGTTAAAAAATGATACCTTGGACAATATTTTACAGTAAATATTGTTGAATGGAAAAAATTGCAGGAAACGCGGGGGGCAAATACATGTATAGTAAAAAAGTAAAATATACAAAAAATTGTGAACTGAGATACATTAATGTTGCTTGAGAGTCTTATTATTATTTTTTAATAAAATAAACATTACTTGCATGAATTCCTTTTAAGGGAATGAACTAAATATCATTTCATTATGCTCCATAACACATCAAATCATTTAACCCTCTGAGTGGTATGGCTCTTTTTTTTTTTTTTTTTTACTTATTGAAGAAGCACAATATTTAAAAAAATATTATTAGCTGTCTAATTACTTTTTTATGTTTGTTTTGCTAAGCTTCTGTGCCTTAGGATAATATTTAGATCACTAAAGAATATAAAGAAACAATATATTTTAAATAACGAGTTAATATATATACTGATGAAAAATTTCATGGCTGAATAAAAGCTAACGTGCCACTCGGGGTGTTAATAAAAAAAATTAATTTTGCATAAAGAGACCTAAATATAATTATTTCCTTTTGCCAAAAAATATTCCTGAGACAAATTAGCTGTGCAATGCACATATGTATGTTCTTTCATAAATTTTATACTTGCATGTTTTTTGCTAGATTGGAGAAAGTTGTAGTGTAAATGTGCATTTTTATAAGACAGGCAAATTTTAAATGTTTTGTATTGCATTATGTATGTCTATCACCAGCTTGCCTGAAACATCCATATCTGATGTCAAACATGTGGTAAAAGGAATTTTATTTCATGTACATATTTTAGTCATAATAGCCTAATCATTCTTCAGTTTTGTTAGAAAATTTGCTCTAAAGTTCTTCAAATATGTATGAAGGATTTTTATTTACATGTAAATTTTAAAATAAGTAAAAATTAAATATATAATAATATAATATATAATTTGATATTTATGTAAACAAGTATATGCACTGTAAGATTGCTTTGTTTTAAAAATATCAAAAGTATTCTGAATGGTCTCATTCTTCCCCTCAGTCTTTTGTTATAAATTCAGAATTATTTATGTGGATTATTGCATGTACAATATGTCATACATTTTAAGCATACAAAATTTTATACTTTTTACTGAGATTTTCATGGGCTAAATGAACAATTCCTGTGTTGCTGCTTTTAATATACTTTCAAATTTGTAAATTTAGAAAAGTTGTTTTTCAATTGAAGTACAATTTGTAAATTATGCAAAACAACTGTTCATTATAGCATTAAAAATATTAAAACTGTGAATTGTTTGAAATTCTTTTATTTTGCTTTTACATAAATAATTTTAATGTATACTAAAATTTCAGAAGAAACATAAGCTTTAGTAATGTATATTTCTAAAACTATTCCATAGTTTGAAAAATTAGACTAATATAACAGTATTCCTATCCTTTTAGTTTTTACTTCCTTGTACGAAGTAGAAGGAAGTATTGTAATAACAAAAAACTCCAGTTTTCGTATTTTAACCGGGTATTCATTTTGACCACTATCAAGTGTAATTTAACTATGTTTTTGCGTGACGATGTACGTAATTTAACGATGTACGTAAGGACAGAATAAAGGATCTGTTTTCCCAAATGAATTATAAAACTGATTTAAAATGGATTCAGAAGAGATTTTTTCGTGGTGTCATTACATATGTACATATGTATCTCGCGCAACTCAAAAACAAGTACCCTCAGAAGATTGAAATTTTCTGTATAGGACTGCTATAACATGTAGTTGTGCACCTTCTGTTTTGGTTGCAATTAGTCACACCAATATATATATATATATATATATATATTCTTATATGTTGGTAAATTGCACATTTTTTACTTTAAAAGTTATTGAATTATGCTATTCTTATCTTCCGGTTAAGATTTTTATGCCTTTAGTTCATTTGCATGCAATAGTTGCAGAATTATCAATAATTTAAAAGTTATTTAAGTGTGGCTGAGCCGAATTTTTTTACCATAGCAGCCATATTTGTTTACATTTGAAACTTGGGACAATAGTGCACTAAGTCTTTCTGCATCCTCAGTGTCTTTTTACTGAGTGGGACCAAAAAGAAACTTTTAGTTTTTTTCCACCGAAAATCTATCTTCTTGCTTGCTGGCCAAATTGTTTGTTTTTGTGGAAACTGTAAATTTAATTGTAAAAGTTGTTTTTCTAATTGTTTTAACTGTATTTGATGTTTTATAGTTTTCTATATCTTTCAATTAATGAATTGAATCTTTCAATTATTTTGATTAAGATTGAAATAATTGAAATTAATAATTTAAATAATTGAAAGATTCTTTCAATTATTTTGAGTTTTTATGTATTTTTGCCTCTCCACGAAGTGTGAATTGAATTAATTGGATGAGAAATACATCTCTAATGAAATTCGAGGAAATAAGTTTAAACGAAATGCAGGAAAAAATGCGCATAAATTAATATTCCGTACAAGAAAGTTCTTTGGTGTGCAGATCAGATTTTTTGAGTCATATTTAGGCAATTTATTATTTGATTTTATGTATATCTTCAGAATATTCCTTTCTAAGATACAATAATTCTGTATAGAATAATAATTTTGACAAATATATTCTCTGATAATATTTGACAATTTTTTACAGTTTTTTTAGGCATTTGCATTATTTTAAGTGCCAGTATTAAGTGAGGTTTAGAAAAAGTGATAGTCTGTAGATTCACTGTTTTTTCAAATTTAATGATTAATTGTTAATTTTATGGACATGATTTGAAGGAGCTAATGACTTCTTTAAAATTATGTCATTCTCCTCCCCCTGGGAAAAAAAAGTGTAATACCTTGTAAATAAAATGGCTGATACATTTGTATTTTAAATGCAACCAAATAGTATTTTTTACAAATTTTCATGTAATTCTTATGCTTGAACTGAAGTTAAAGCTCAGGAAATGCTTGCGATTTATCATAGTATACATTTTATATTAAAAAATTTGTATTTAAAAAAATATTATTGCCCTACTTTTAGAAAATTAAACAATTAATAACCTTGGATGAAAAACAAAACATACAACAGTGACATATATACTTGGAGGTAATCAGAATGTGTATATATCTTTTAGTTTAATAACTTTCTGAAACTTATTTAGAAGGATTTTTTTTAAACTTTTATATGCATATGTTTAAGAAATGTTATTAATTACAAGGCAATCTGATGCATAAGTTAAAATTCTGTATGTTACATTCATAATCAATTGTTTTTTACATTTTTCATATCTGTTCACAAAATTAAAGATGTTGTAAGGTACTAGTTTAAATGCTAATCATATATTTTAAAATATGCATATTATTTTTAATTTAAGAAGGATGCTATGGTAGATCGGGAGTTTTCAACCTTTTTTTTTCCATCATGCACCCCCCTCTCCCTTTCCCCACTGCTAGAAGTTCACTAACTCCTTTATCTTAAACTTGAATATTTAGATTTGGATTACTTTTGATGTGTTTTATTGAACAAAAAATGCGGAATATTCATAAATAATATTCATAAACTAAAACTAAATAGCTAAATAAAAAGTTGACCACATCCCTCACAAAAAATATGAAATTCACCCTTGGTTGAGAACCCCTTAGCTAGATAGCATTGCCATTTATATATAGAATGCAAGTTTGGAGAAAAATTTCATTTATTTTGTATTTGAAGTTTAAAAAAAATCGTAATGTTTTTATATTAATTGCTGTGTATAGAATGAGATAATTATTGGAGTACTAGTTCTATGTTATAGTCAACAAACCTCCGTTATAAATTTTTCATCCTAATATAAAAGAAACTGCTCAGTTTTTACTGCTGTTTATCAAAATTTCATGAAAAGTGAACTTTGAAAAGTAACAGCTAATAATGTTGTTTTGATAATGCTATAGTTTTAAGAAATAACAATTCTGGGCATATAGTAAATTTTAGTTACATAGTAATCAATCTACATAATCATTCTGTTATCACATAACTATGACACAAATGTAAATTTAGAATCCTTGAATACTTCTATGATCATTTACAATTTTGCAATATATAATTTATTGAAACTCTTTTAATAATTTTTATAATAAGTTCTAAAACACTTTAGTTTATATAAATTGTCTCACAAGAATAAATTGAATCTAATTAAATAAATACAAATTTAATTAAATAATTAAATTAGTTTATATAAAAAATTTTTAAGATTAAAGATATATAATAATTTTAATTTCGAAAACATTCATTAATTCTAGCAATATCATCGGCAGATTCAGAATTATTTCTTATATTTGATGCCCACAAAGCGTGGTTTCACCTAGGTTTTATACACTCAGCATGTAGGTTTTAATCATAGCAAATAGGCTGATTGCATGACAGTTTTCATGGTTTTCCCATATGTAATGTGCAATTGAACCAGGTTCCTCCACAAGGCATCTATCCCGTGATGCAGATAGCCCTATGATGATGCTCTATGATGCAAATAGCCTTTATCAGTTATCCAATTGATCCAATTCTGCACCTCAGTGTTTCTCAAACTTTTCTTTATATATATTAGAATAGAATGTTCTGTGGATGACCTTATTCTTGTTCCCTTTGAAAACAATTTTTGAGCACATGCTACTGCTAGTATACTTATATTTTTAAAACAATATTAATAAAAATTCATTAAATTTTATATTGCTATTAAATAATCAAGTTAAAATGTTTGTTTTTAATTATTCAAGTTTATTAGATTTTGGATAATCTATTTGATGAACTAAAATAAGTGTTGGTACTTATTTTTAATGAAATGGATAAACCTGCAGATTTTTGCACAGCTATTCTGTTTGTGAATGTATGCTGGTAAGAAAGGTCACAGTCATAGTGCTTTAAATCCCATTTTTGTTGCAAAGACTAGAGTGGGCAGTCCATAGGTAGAATAACTGGTAATTCATTTCATAAAATATCAAGTCTTTGGAGAAAACATGATAGACGATTGCAATATGTAATTTTCCAAGGCGATTGCCACGTATAATTTTCCAAACTCTGAGATTTTCAGCTATAGTGTGGTATATACAGCTAATTTGAATTTTATTTTATTTATTTTGTCACTTTTTTGGAAATTTAGGTGGACAAGAGCAGGCTTACAGACCATAGATTGAGAAACGCTTCTGTACCTGATTGGGTTAATTCTCTGTATATAGAATACTACAATGATAAAGACTTAAATGCTGATCATTGGTTAAGAGCTGCTTTAAAAATAAAATTATTTTCATCCTACATTAATAAACATATAGGGAAGTTCATTTTGGCATTTGTGGCTTTGTCCTGAATAGCAAGAGGTAAAACAAAATTTTTTTAGCAATTTGTATATGTTGTTTTAATGATTATTATGAAGTATCATACTCTAATCACTAAAATATACCTTATTAAAAAAACTAAATATAATAATGAAAATAATTAAAATTTACAGAGTAGGTGAAATCATTTAAAAGACGTGATTGCTCGTCGGGGCTTCGCCGATTCCGGATTATAGATCATCAATTTAGATCTGGTAAGATGGCATGCAGAAATTATACAATTAAAAATATGAAAACGTAATTTATGAAATAAAGAGCAATTATGATCTAAAGGGTTATCAAAATTTACAAAAAAAAAAAAAAAAAAAAAAAAAAAAAAAAAAAAAGCTTAATATTTATTTGTTTACTTTATTAAACATTTCTTTCAATGTAAGTTGTTTAAGTTGCTTCGTTGTTTGTGCTAATACTTTCTCTTTAATTCTATAAACACACATAATTTCTGTTTCAATTCCACTGTTCAAGTCCTGTAATTGCTGTGTCGAGAATACCGACTAACTTGTCAACCGAAATTTTTTCATTTTCAATAACATCTCTGTCATTTTCTTCACTATCGGAAGCGGTACATCGAAACATGCTTTCACTTTGTGATCCTTTGGCAGCTCCAGAATTGGAAACTTTTTGACATGTTGAAGCTTAATTTTTACAAGAAAGTTGAAAGTTTACAAGAAAGTTTTGAAAGTTGAAGCTTAATTTTTACAAGATTGCTCTAACAGTCTGCAAAAAATAATAAGCCAGATCCAATTAGAAGATTAAGGAACAGTGCAATCTGCAAAATTAACTGAAATACGTTAGAATCAATAAAGATAATTTTAGCCTAGCTTATACCGTCCATTATACATTAAACGCGCATGCGTAAAGCATACCAAAAAAAAAAAAAAAAAAAAAAAAAATTGTGGCTTTGAGGTCTGGATTATAGATCATTCCGGGAAATCGATGTCCGGATTACGGACTTTGTACTGTAATGATAATTTAAGCAATGTGCAGAATATACAAACATAATTGTTCCATCTCTTTGTATATGTCATTTCCAAAAGCAAAACAAGTCAAATATTTTTTTTAATTAGTTAATGTTAAATAATATATAAAGACATCTTATATTTTACTTTATTTAATCTATGAAGTACTTTATGCAAGAGCATAGCTGCTGCAAAACCTCAGCATAGGCAACAAAATCCCATTAGTTATGATGTGGGATGTAAAAGGCTGAGAGAATTGTATTTCTGGTGTTGATTCTGAGTAGGATGACCTTTGAGATTTAATAAAAATATCTATTTCTTTTTATTAATGAAAAGCCAATTCATAAAAATAAATATTTCATTCTCAAAATTCCATTTTCATCTATCATTTGTTCTTTACCAAAGTTAGATTTTTGTTAATTTCTTTTCCCTCCAATATGTCTATACATACTTTTGTGATTTAGTAAAATTTAAATTAGTAGTAAATATTATATACTTCATGAGAATTTCAATCTATAATTTAGGAAGTCCACTTTATTAGCCAGTGGACAGTTAACAAATAGAATTAATGAAGTTTTCATTTTGTAGTATTAATTCACTTATCCTGAAGAATAATACTTATTTATAAAATTACTATTAATTCAGACTGTAGAAAAAAGTAGAAAAATATAATTTGCTTTTTCATCAGTCCAAACTAACAATATAGTTTTGAATTTAAAGTACTAGTTTTTCATAATTTCTTAACATTTTGAAACACTTGTTTTATAAAGTCTTAAAATATTTTATTTTCATTCTTTTATAAAAGTAATGTTGTTTAAAAACTTGATAATAATTTTTTGCTTTGTTTCATATAATTTTCTTCTTTGGGGGGCAATAAAACAATAAAATAAACAACCTAATGTAATTTTAGCTGTTAATGACAGAGGTTAAAAGTTCTAAAACTATATGTAGTGTCACAAGAATGGAAATCATAAAATCACCGTCAGGAAAGAGGAATAAAAATAAATACATCATAAATAATTAATCAATTAAAAGAAAATGTTAAAAGATAGCTAAAAATGCAATATTTTTATTAATGATTATTAGTTAAATTCTAAAATAAAATAGCTAATTTCATCATAAATGAATTGGGCTGTGGCTGAATTTAAATTTTCAATGTGCAGCAAAATGTGCTGTTTCAGAGGATGACAGAAATAAAGATTATTCTTTTTCTAGCATACCAATGAAGAAATGTAAAATGGTGAAAGTGCCATTAATGAGAGAATGCTAGAAACAGTATGAGAATATGAAAAGAAATTTTAATGAACTGTAGGTATGAAAACAGAGATCAGTGCAGTACCTTTTGACCATGAACCCTGTCAATGTAATTCCCGCTGTCATGCAGATAATGAAAAAAGAAAAGTTTTGCTCAAATCCGTGAGGTTTAATCTATAAACCAAGAACAAATGTAAATTTTTGTACAGCTGATCATTTTCATCTCCCATGTTTGGTTACATTGTTCCAAAAAAATATGCACAAGCTCTTTCCCAAGGAAAGTCACTAGCACTGGGCGTATTTGAGTCGTTTAGCTTAGAACTTCTATGTTAAGCACATTGTAACTTGGAGTGGTAATATGAACAACAGTTCCCTTCCCTGCTGTATTTGCAAGAAATTGAAGCTACTGATACCGAATTATTGAATATGAAAGCATTAACAAGGTTTAGTATTTTCGAGAACAAAAAATGTACCCATTCTCAAACAAGCTGTCATTAATTCATTTCATTTCCTGGAGAATAAAGTTTTGACATGTAAATGTGAGCTTTTCTTTAATTAAAAGGCTCTTCTGTTGAAAAGTTGGCTTTCTAGGGATGAAAAGGCATGCATCAGAAGTTAACAGATTTTTAAAGCTTACCTATCATTAAAATAAAATTTTGTGGGGTCAAAAGAGTTTTTTTGCTGAAATTATGGTTTAGTTTTACATAAGAAGTGCACAGTACTCTGGCTAGAACTACAATTTATCTCAGTGCTCCGCAACCGGTGTGCCGCGGCACACTGGTGTGCCATGAGTAGGATATAGGTGTGCCGCAATCAAATACATGTATTTGACATTTTGCAATTTTTTATCTTGTATTTAATACACAATGACAATTTTTTTTCCTTAATAATGTCTATTTTAAATGTTTTTATATATTTCACTGTTGTGTGTGTGATTGTAAGTGTGTCAGCATTTGAATTTTTTCGGCACTTCCTTGACAACTCGGAACTCTTTGGTGTGCCACAAAATTCCAGAAAGATTTTTTCTGCGTCGCAGGTGAGAAAAGGTTGCGGAGCACTGATTTATCTCAAAAATTGAGAAACGCAGGAGTTAGGCACCAGTGTGCTCCGGCACAGATTAGCTGTGGTTAATGAGGCAAAATGTATGAACAATTATTCTTTTCAAAAATAAATAACTGAAAGATTTTGAATTTCCTTATATTTATATCTCAAACTAAGCAACGATAAATTAAAAAAATTGACATTTTTATTCACCATTCATATTGTACAAGTTTTCACATCCATCATCTTCATACATATTTAAATCAAACAATACTGTCTTAATAGCACACAAAGCTTGGCAGGTATATTCCATTTAAAAGAAAAATTAATACAATTCTCTCTTACAAACAGCAATGCCATTATCTTTCTTTCATGATTCTATTTGACTAGTCATCATATCAAAATACATTTGTCATTATACTTCTCTCAGTTTTGGATAACTAATGCTGTGATGTTAAATAGTTTATACTTTGTGAAATTTCTGGAAACTAGTAGATTGTCAGGCACATCTTGTAGACCAATATGCAAAACAAGAAAAAAAATATTCCTTTGCTTATAAGATTGCTTATTTATTATACATCCCATATAAACTTTCCTTTTTTGTAAGTATCAGGAATATCATCACAGTATACCATCATCCTTCTAGAAAAAAATCATATATTTCTCTCAGGATCTTTTTTAGTAAGGATAAAAGACACTTGGGATGGGAAGTGTGAAAAATTCTCACCATATATGTTATTCTCTACTATAAAATTATTAGTTGTTACTCAAACATGAACTACATTTAGCAAAATCTGCAGTTTATGATATAACTTTGAATATTATTACCGTTTCTTTATTTTATACTTTAAGTTCATATTTAAGTAAAGTATTTTGTAATTTCATTATTGTAGCGTCTTAAAAAATAGAGAATGTAAAACTTAAATTTCCTTTAAAAGTTTTCATGCATGAGTAAATAATTATTTATTTATTTATTTTTGTGTGTGTGTGTGTGGCAATTTTTTTTTTTTTTTTTTAAGCAGATGTCTAAAAGAAAAAGATATAATTAATTTCAAAAACTACAGTGAAAATTGTGCAAAATTTGTGAAGCTCGGATAGACTGTATTTTTCTAATATTCTAAGAAACCTATATTTTTGGCCCCAATGAAATTGAAAATATATCTATTTTAAAAATTGAATTTCTAGTTAACTATATAATTATTTAAGAAGTTTTAATGTAAAAGTGTCTTGAGAAATAGAGATTAGATATACAGGAATAATGTGTACATATATATACTCATTCAAACTGTTTTTATATTCTAAAAATTGGAAAATTGATTATTTCACTTTGATATATTTGAAGTGAAACAATAAATTGCAGCAATGCAGTTTTACAATTCAAGCAAAACCATGCTGATTAAAAGTAATGTTGTCTGAGAAATTACTATTTGATGATACTGCATTAATAATCAAATTTCTGTTGCATTTCTTTTGTACCACATAATTTACTCCTTTTACAGGCTGCATAACATATTACCAATTAAATGCCTTTGACAAAAACAAGAGAAAGTTTTATAAGTAGTATCGCCTGTTTATCTTTTGACGTTTTTTTCTTTCACATGTTTGTCCGTAGCACTCACCATATAAATCATTTAATTTCATTACTTTGCTACATTTGACTTTCAAATGATATTTCTATTTTTGATTTAAACATGATTAACTTTGATTCATGTCATGATAATATCCATGAAACTTTCATACATATTCTTGATGGAATTCAAAATGAAATCTACAACACACACACATCATTTGCTTAGTTGTTTCTTGCAGGCATTCATTATACAATTATGTTCTCTGAATGTTAAACACATCAACAACACACTGAAAAATTCTCTGCAACAAAAAGTATTGAACTAGAAACTGAAGAAAGCTGATGTCATTGAGCTCGGTAAGGGAAAATCTTGATATGAGTTACAAATATTACATTTTCTTTCTTTACAACATCTGTGTGAATAATAAGCAGTTAAATTACAGAAATTCACATTGCCTAATATGTCTGTACACAACCTGTACATTATTGGGCTTGTGTATTTTAGCAAATCATCATAAAATACCTCATTATTGGGCTTAAAGTAGTTGTATGAAGAAGCACATGAAATAGTATTGCCATCGTAGCCATTGCTTTTAAAGAAGCATGATCTTGTTTCCCTGCAACTGTTTGCAGATGAATAATTTTTGCAACAGCACAACTTTTCTGCAACATCATCTAAAGTTTTTACATTTACACATGCAATTTCTGCTGTTCACTATTGTGCATAACACTACTGGATATACTGTGTATATTCTCTACTTATATTTGATTTGTAGATTAAGATTTCCTGTGCATTTTGAATTTTTTCTTTAGGTTAACAGTTGTGCTGGTTGTGTTCTGACATATATGGAATAATTGAAAGGTTTAACTATACGAAGTGTTGTTGAGACACATATGCCTATTTTTTTACAGTGTTGTGCGTGTTGGAGGATTTAGCTCAGATTTCTTTTCATGAAATGCACTTTTCTCACACTTTAGCTTGAAGAAGTTGCTACAGCAGGCTTATCATCCAAATTAGACTTAACTGGAGAATTTTTCAAATCAGATTTGCGACCTAAAAGGTAATATGTCATCAGATTACCTTTACCTTTAACTGCAACCATACCACGTTGTTCAAAAACATAATCAAATTCCTCAAGGATTCGTGCTGTTTCTTCCACAACCTGAAATATCAGATGATCATACCTTTAGTTAAAGTACACTTAATTATTTGTATTTTTTCAAAATAGATATAGAATGCATATTCTTAATTAGCTTAAGAACTGAACTCATATTTAGAAGCTTTAAACATTTCTACACATCTGGGATTTGTTTCATATCAAGATTTTATAACACCTTCTAATTAAAGCAAAAAGTTAAAAACCTATTTCTACTCAGGGTTCTTAAATACATCTTTGTTCTATATCATAGGTAACATACACAGCATATAGCCGGCAACTGAAAAGAATGATACTAAAATTATCAGGTACTCTGGCAAATAAAAATTCTAAGTAGAAACAACATGCATCTATGTTATGTAAAATATGACAAAAATGATGTAGGCACAAGTCTAGCTTAGAAAAAGACTCCTGTAATATGATTAAAATTCTTCCCAAAGTGGGTATGTATGTACAATCCAGTAAATACTTATGTGAAAGTGAAAATATTTGCCGAATTATATTACTGTACATTTAATGTAAGCTCAATTACAACTTTGAAAGCTTTTATTTGAGGAAATTTATTTGATGCTCACATTTTACATTAGTTATAAAGTATTCAGATAACAATAATTAAATAGTTTAAATAATTAAAATGTATTTAATTATCGCTGAACAATAAATAAATTTTATAAAACATAAATAGAAAATGAACTTGTAAGAAATAATCATTTAAAATTGTCATTAGCATCAAATAATATAAAATATGTATGTTTTTATATTGTACCTGAATGCATCCAGCTTTTCCAGTGCTTTCCATTCTAGATGCTACATTAACAGTATTACCCCACATATCATAGTGAGGTTTACGAGCTCCAATCACTCCAGCTGTGATAGGACCTTGATTGATACCTGAAAGAAATACCCATTTTTAATTTCTGCGAGGTTTTTCAAAAGAAGTGCATAAAATAACAGAAACAATATGAAATGCATGAACAATGAGTAGTCAGCTGATCTGTAGAGGTGCCATCAGACTCTGATTGCATGATATTACCAAACAACATAACAGACATTTTTATATCCAGAGAGTTAAGTCAAGGACAAAATTGCCGTCTTTTTATTTCTTTCTATTTCTGTTGCTCATAGGTAATACTAAAATAAATTTTAAAGCAGAAAAAATTGAGCGAGTTCTAAAATACATTACGAATATAATGCACAAAACGTGGTAGCAACTGACTGCCATGCCATCAGCCATATTTTTATGAAAATAAAGCATCTTGCGATATCAATGAATGTAACGGAGAACTGTACTGTCTAAGGATGTACGTAAGACCAAAAATGCAAAAATGCTTGATAAACTACTCGACATTGAAAATGCAACACCAAGAAGCAGTGGTCAGAAATTTATGCAAATTTTAGAGTAGACCACGTCACTGAGTTATGCGAATGATGTGAAATGCGAAGCTCTCCGACGCACGTGAAGTAAGATATAAGAGAAGGAACGACGTGCAGAATGGGCAATATTCGTGTCGCTAATTTCTGCCAGACGAATTATCGAAGAAAGTTCGTTTTTGTTCCGGAGGATAAGTGTAATAGGAGAGAATGCCAGGCCGCCGTCAACGAAGGCACTTCCAGCAGATACACGATTTTACGAGGGGTATGATGATCGGACTGAGAAGGGCGGGTTGGTCCTTACGTCAAATCGCAGCTGAAACCCACATGGATGCGAGCACGGTGCATCGGCTATGGCGAACATGGTTGGAACAAGGAGGGTTGCAGGTGCAGCCAGAGTGACGTCAGCACACACGGATAGATGCATCCGCCGACAAGCTGTAGCGGTCCCGCAAGTCACTTGCACCGCGATTCTGCAGCATGTGCAAGATACCCTTGATGTTTCCGTGTCGACCAGAACTATTTCCCGTCGATTGGTTGAACGTGGCCTTCACTCACGGCGTTCGTTAAGAAGACTGCCATTGACCCCACAGCATAGACGGCAACTGGAATGGTGCCGGACTGAATTGATGTGGATGACAGAATGGCGAAACGTCGTGTTCTCAGATGAGTCACGCTTCTGTTTATCCAGTGACAGTTGCCGCATACGTGTGCGGCGTCGACGTTGAGACAGATCTAATCCGGCAGTAACTGTGGAACGCCCCAACGCGAGACAACGTGACATAATGGTTTGGGGCGCTGTTGCCTACGATTCCAGGTCACCTCTAGTTCGTATTCAGGGCATTATGACGGCTCAACGCTATTTGGATAATGTACTGCGGCCGGTGGCAATTCCCTACCTTCAGGGGCTGCCTAATGCAATTTTTCAGCAGGATAACGCCCGACCACACATTGCTCGCATCTGCCAACATGCTCTGCAAGGTATACAGATGCTTCCCTGGCCACCGCACTCTCTGGACCTGTAACCAATCGAACATGTGTGGGATGTGATAGGACGCCGTTTGCAGACTCTGCCCCTTCCTCGTTCAGAAGACGAACTGTGGCAAATGATTGAAAGGGAATGGAGAGCCATTCCTCAGGACACCATCCGCACTCTTATTGCATCCGCACTCCTAGACGTGTTTCTTCGTGCATCGCTGTCCGCGGTGGTCCTACATCCTACTGAGCCGACGCCGTTTTCGCTCTGTATTCTTACCATCATTTTGAAATAAAGATCACTTATTTCTGCTTGCTGTCTCTGTTTTTTTTTCCAAATTTCATCATTTTCTGACCACTCCTTCTTGGTGTTGCATTTTCAATGTCAAGCAGTGTATATTCAATTGATAAATAAGACAGGTTCTTGAGGAACGTATAGTCAAAATTTGTATTGACAAATAGCAATACAATGGCAGTATACTATTAATCCGAGTAAAATTGTTAAAATGAGAAGTATATTTTAATTAATAGTTGTTTAATAATTTAATGTTAATGCTTCATATACATTAAACTTATAACAAGAATTTGATAGCACGTCTGATTTAAACAAAAGCAGCATATAAACTGTAATAAATAAATAATTATATTACCCATCCTTAGCAAGAAATTGTTGAAGCTTTCTTTATTAATATTAGCCAATGTTTCTTTGAGTGTGAGCGCAAATTCTGTCAACTGAGCAAGGTGAGCCCATTTTACTTTGACTGGTGCGTTCGGCTGCAATAGTGAATAATAAATGTATACGTATGAAGGTGAATATTAAAAAAAAATTGAAATTACAAATTTATATAAGTAACAGTAATATCGGAAAAGAAAAAAAAAACTTTTTTTGCTTATAAATAACTATTAATAATTACTATTTTTTAGTTTCGTTATTTGCAATTTTTTCCTTATATATATATATATATATATATATATATTTGTAATAATAAAATTCCATAGTCAAAAATACACTTGAAATTCTAACTGTATGTTCTTTTCATTTTTAATGGCGACGATCTCTTATTTGAAAGTACGTGGAATTAAATCCACAGCCCCGTAGTCCAGTTGTTTTTCCCGCCTTTTCTACACGTACAGTTATAGAATGTTCTGGAAATATTTAAAGCGAACTGAATTGGCTGACGTCATTTCTTTGAAGCTCCGCCTTTCCAAAGGCTATAAAAGGACTCGCAAAGGAATATCGGGGGCTTTTTTTTAATGTAATGATGCAGTAAACTTCATACAAAAAGTTATTAGTATTTTTTTTATTTACTTTTATTTTTTATTACTTTATGTACCTTTTATATCTCCGGATATCTGATTTTGTAACTTCTATTTCTCCTGAATAATAATAAATGGATCCTGTTTTTTAAACTTATCGTCTGATAATTTAAGCTACGACTACATCTATATTTCTTCAACGATCTATTTATTCTGGAAAAAGCTGATACATCACATATATTATATATTACCAAATATTTAGTGTACTCACATCGTAATTATCGTCTGTTAATCCACTCGCTGCCATGTACGTGGAACCAATTGTTTTGATTTTGATGATAGCTTTAAATCTTTCTTGATCTAAAAGCTAAAATAAAGCAAAAGTTTTATGTTCATTAAGAACGGGAAAAAGCATTAGATTAACAATATTTTGTTGATATACATGAACTGTTCATAATCTAACAATAAAAAACATCAATAGATTGAAATGAATTGCTAGTTCTTTTGTTATGCATCAATAAACAGAAGATATACAAATTTAAGCATTTGCTACGCATTAGAGACACTTAGCAATTAATATGGTGATCTACTTTTCGGTAAAATTACGGTTCGTTAATACCTAGTAACTGATTATATAAGTTTTAGATTATTTATCATCAGTAATTGAAAAGCCCACAGCAGCAGCTCTATTAATTCAAGTTGACAATCTCTTAACATTCTGTTCTAGCATATCCAGCAGATGTTCAACTGAGTCGGAAGGGTGCGAAGGCAAAGCAAACAGGCTTCTTTGTCGTGTTCTTTCATTCTCTTAAAAGCTTTACAAGATCGACGGGAAGAGGCGGTGTTGTATTGAAGATGGTATCCAGGTAGGCTTTCTTTGGCAGAGGAAGATAGTCGTTTAATAAGTGCCATAGGTTTCATCATTCATATTTAAAGATTTATTGCCAGTGTTCCTTAGCCCATGTTTGTTGGTCATTCTTTGTGCTTCGACTCTCGTCAGTAAAATCGACTTGATGTAAGAACATTGCGTACGGAATACATTGTCTGGCCAAAACTCACCAGATACCCAATGCCTTTACCCACATAGCACAAAAACATCCTTGGGATATCCCGAGGATGTTGCTCGCGGGATATGCGCACATCCTCAGGACATCCCGGAATATCCCGTGAACCTACTAAACACCTCCTCCCGAGTGCTTAATGTCACATCCCGGGATATCCTCAGGACATCCTAACTAAGTCTCATTGACAGCGTGCGGGATGTTATTAGGATATGAATTCCTACTTACTACATCCTCAGGACATCCCGGGATATCCCACTAACCTCCTAAACACAGCCCATTATATCCTAAAAACATCCTATCTATATCCCATCGACAGCGTATGGGATGTTATTAGGATTTAAAGTCCTACTTACTACATCCTCAGGACATCCCGTAATAACCCAGTTTCCTCCTAAACTAATCCTCCCGAGTGCTTAATGTCACATCCCAGTATATCCTTAGGACATCCTATCTAGGTCCCACCGACAGCATATGGGATGTTATCAGGATTTGAAACACTAGTTACAATATCCCTTTAACCTCTTAAATACATACTCTCAACTGCTTAATGTTACATCCCAGTATATCCCCAGAAATCTTCTTTATATTCCAGTGAAAGTGTGTGAAGGTGCTGTGATAACCTGAAACTTGTTTATTTTCCACAGACAGTCTCAGGTCCTCCATCTGTGGTTACTATGGAAAAATAAGAAATTTTAAGAATATTTATACAATTTATTTTCTAATTTGAATTTCAATTTATTTAATAATTTGTAAATATATCTAAAACTGAGCAAGAGACTTGAAATGAATTATTAATACAAAATATTATAAGAGAAAATTTTGCTTTAAAATATTAAAAATCTTTCGATCATTTTTAACCATTCAATAGCCCAAGACTGAATTCTTCGATATATTCATAAGTAAATTATTCTACAAATTCAGTTAATTTGTATTCAAAATTCAATAATAAAATTAAGCATTTAATAACCTTTAAGTAGGGGACCAGATGTGTGTAAATTTTGAAATTCTGAACTTAAGTCGGTTACGTTGATTGAATCATTATTCATGGCTACAGTATGATTAAACAGTTCATGAGTTCGTCTTGCTATTTGCTGTAATGGAGCGGAAGATTTTCTAATCAATTTTTTTTATAGAAGATATATAGCTTTCAAATTTAAATGCACTGTAATTATCTAACGGCCCAAACATTTTTACATCTTCGCAAATATGCAGTAGGCCGTGAACATTATGAGCAATATACTGTTTTTCATAATAAAGCCCAAAATTTACTACGAAGAGTTTTAAAAGAGACTGTGCGTATTCATCAATTGCCGTCTGATTCTGTATTTTGCATAAGAGTCTAATCGAAATATGAAGTAGTAAAAAATGATCATGTAGCTTTTTGTTAAATTAAAAAAATAATAATAATAAATAAGTGGGCTAGTGTACAGTAAAAATTGACGGTATTCTGTAGCTTTCCAGTGTTTCAATTCTTTTAGAGTTGGTTCCTTGGTTTCCTTGCAAATTCAATTGGTACATAAGGCTTTAAAAACTGGTCATTTAAAATTAGTTCAACATTTTTATTAGGTAATCGTGCTTGTAAGGTGCCTCCGCCTATCCTAATAGTAATCATTTTTTGTACTACTCCTAAGCACACAAGGGACATAAAGTCTAACGGAATATTTATTAGTCCTACATTTGGAATATTCCTTAAAATGGGATAATCGTTTTGGTAATCGTCATCAGTCAGTTCTTCTTGAGACATAAAAAGTTCATATTTCGAATCACAGTTTGAAATGGAACTTAAAGAATATTTGCTAGCGCGAAAATTCGACACAGTCCTTTTTCATAATTAAATACTACTTCATCTTCTGACGAATCCGATAATATACGTTGATTTATTCTGCTGTATAAATCCGTCTTTTAGATATCTGAGATAATTTTTTTTAGTTCTGATCATTTTTGTAGAATAAAGGAAACATTTTTAGAAACTTACTTTTCACACTCTGTCAATGTAACGCTTGCAAGCGTCAGCAAGTCAGTTCGTAACTGAAAGAGAATTTGGAACGACGGCTATTAACGTTTAGCAGAATAGCTGAATTCTGGAAATCTGAAAGTAAGTGCGTGTACTTTCCACTTTGTGGGGTTCTTCAAGGATATCACTATTACGGAGCAATTAAAACCGTTGCCGTTCTGCGTACTTTGTTGTGAAGGGATGTTTCCCTTGTAGGGGGATACAAAAGAAGGGAAGGTTTGACACATAAATCTGCCACGTTAACAAAAGAGAAATCTTCTTGGGGCATCGGCTACAGAAAAAGTGCTCAGAGGTGTTACATTCTGAGCGGAGCTCGGTTTCTCAAAAGCAAAGAAAATTTGAGAAGCAGTTTTACGGACAATGACAATGATATGATGGGAAACGAAACTTTAAGATTTTCAACTTCAATTGTTATTTATAGTATAAAATAAAGTAATAAAACTGCTGAGTTTAAAGAACGCGTTTAATTTAAAAATTAAATCATTTTAATTTAAAGTTTGAACATCTATTTAATCCGTTATCTAATTTTGAGTTTTCATAACAACATTTAACTTTGTGTTATATACCTTGAAGAAACGTGTTTACTGCATTTTCTGGATGTTACAAATAAATTAATAAAGCAGCAATTATTGTTAAATTATGAGGAGTCATGTAGCATTGCCGGCATAACGTATAAGACTGCAGAGCGCTGGATATATTTTTTTCGCGCTTTGTTTAGCAAAGACCGAATATTTGTATGGTTAAAGAGGTAGCAAAGTGAGGTTTGAGGAGAGTAAGAACTTAATGTTAGTTCTTCCCATTCTCAAACCTTATTTTCCTATTACAGAGAGGTAAAAAATAAGTTACTTCTTACCTCAGTCGCTTTGAAAGACTAATTCTCATTATTAAAGAACTTACCAGAAAATGAACGAAGAAACTGCAATGAATTTTTTAGCCCAATAAAATTATTCTTCTGTTTATAAATTCAAATTAAAGGAGGTTAAACCTCGTACAGACTAGTTTTTAACTGCGTCTGTAAACTAAAATTTCGTTTGTTCAAAAAAAAAAAAAAAAAAAATATTGTTACTTATTACTGCACAGCACTAAACATCATTCATTACTAATATAATAGTGTAACAGATCAAAAAGTATTTTTTTCTTTTGCAGTTTCAAAGTATGGTTATTTCTATGCTAAGAACTATCGATGAATTTAATAGAATACTTTTCTAACTTGATATTTCTGATTAGTGCCTCAGAGACGGGTAAGTGATTATAGTGACCGATTGCCGTACAGAAGGGCTCAAGTTCGAATGCCATATAAGGCATGGATGCACATCATGCCCATCTGTTCATAGGATAAATGTCTTTGTAAAAGATTTTCTGAGTTAACCTGTAACGTAAATAATATTTGTGTTCAAAGATATTAGAAAAGTATCTAAAATAATGTTTACAAAATATATTATGTAGCAATTAGAATTTAATAATAAACACACTTTCAATATGAAACTCAAAACGGATGAAAACACGTGCCTATAATTTGTAAGAAAGTACTCTGATCAATAGGCACTGTGAAACAACAACAAAAATTTGAAATATTATTCCTTAATACTTACAGCCAAAATATACGAACCAGTGTAAGCATAACAATTAAATTTTCATATGCAGAATAGGTAATCCATAGAGTAAGATTTCGATTCTTATAACATGACTTGTATGTGGTACAAGGTTACTTTAATATTTTCAGATATGAGCTTCCATAAAAAGTAAGTACCGAAGATATCTGAGAAACAACATCCTCAGGAGATCTTTATATATCCCGGGACATTACGACTTGAACAGGACATCCTTAAGATGTTGATTTACGAACTCCTCAGGATATCTGAAAATCAACATCCTGAGGAGATCTTCATATATCCCGGGACATTGAGACTTGAATAGGATATCCTCAGGATGTTGACTTAAGAAGTCCTCAGGATATCTGAGAATCAACATCCTTAGGATATCCTAACTGCTTCCCGGGACATTGCGACTTAAATAAAATATCCTGAGGATGTCTTGTGTTATGGGGGTAGAGGTTCGAATCCCACGAACGGGCTGGCTGCAAGGACATTTTCGTGGTTTTCTCCGTGTATACGAGCCAATTTCCTTTAGAAAGTCTTCCAGGAGAGCAATCCCTCTCCCTAGGCATATAGCCCTCGAGTGCTTTGCCGTAATCATTTTTTGAAGTGTTAAGAATAAAAAAAAATGTAAGTCAGATCTACGATTAAAATGTAAGATAATAATTAAATAAATTATTTTCAGCCGAAATATGTTTAACATTATTACAAATGAAAAAAAAGTGTGCTTACAGCATCATAATCCGAGATGACTTCATTCAGGAAGCGAAGACATTCCAGTCCTTGGTTGTTGACAGAGTCCTCGGTATAAAAGTCTGAGAAATTAGGCATTGCGGCAAACAAAACACCAACAGCTTCATAACTCTTGCTATAGAGTTCCTAAAATCAAATTTTCGGAACAACAATCATTAGAATTGTACTAATTACATATAAAGACATAATAAGACTTTTCTGTAAGGTATAAACTTTCACTGAACGTGGGCCGCTGCGATTGGACGTTAAGACCATTCCATTTGCACATAATGGAGTGTATATAAATCACTGCTATATCTTCACAGAGCAGAAATAGAACCTAAAAATATATTGAAAGAAATTTTTCGTCTACAGCTGATGATTACATATTGGAATGATATATACCAGACCTGCAGTAGGGGGTCGCCAAAAATTTTAACAAATTTGATATTTCTTTAACTTATTATAATAATTTTACAATTACCACATACTTTTACGTAATGTATCTGAAAATAGATAAAGATAAGACAATCCAGACAAAGGAGAAACGAAAACGTTTTGAAGCACTTTTTTTTATAATAGAAACGTTAATTTTCCTTTGAACATTAAAGTGTGCAATAGTATATTAAAATACAAATGAAGAAACTGATAGTTTCACTCACGCGTGTGTTGGATTTATGCAATGCTTCCACAAAATGTTCGTAAATATAATAGGGTCCTCACACCAAAAAGTTTAAGAAACCCTAATATATACAATAAAAGGATAAAAATTAAGAGATAATTTAGTTGATTTCTTAGCACACTACGTATAATAGCTAATAGCCTTAATTTTGAAATTTCTAAACTCTTATTCATATATATGTATATACAGAGTTCTTCAAACAAACGTGTACAAATTTTTAATGAAAGAAATTCTTTATTGTGCATAAGTACCGAACTTAATTATAGGTTAATATAATTTTATATATCATAGGTTAACAGTGGCATAACTAGAGCTCTTGAGCCCCTATGCAAAGAAATTTTTTGGGTCTCCCAATAAATTTACAGTAATCCCCCCCCAAAAAAAATCGAGGTTCCCAGGAACCAACATTTTGATGATGATTTTTATCAGATCTGGATTTATAGTTAAAAAATATGATATGAACACCACATCACTTCTTCATACAGCCTATTAAATTATACATATTTTTTGCTGCACTTCATTTAAACTTATTTCCACGAATTATTCTAATTTAATCAACCGATTTCTCAAGACAAGTTGACATCCAAACTTGTATTGAAAAATTTGAATTAAATATCCTGGTCAGTTTTTGTCGCACGGGAGAATTTATTTTTTTCATAATGAATATAAAGCTTTCCCACATATAAGTATAGGACCCGAGAGACCTCATGAAAAGTTAAATTTCGTTATTTGTCGAAAACTATGTTTTTATCACATTTTTTTTATCATTTAAAACATGCACGTACATGCGAATGTACAGATGTTAGGAAAAAATCCCTTTTGAATACGTTTTAAAACCCTTTTTGGAACAGAGTCCTTTATTCTGTCCATACGTACAGACGTCATGGGGAAAGGATTCATCCAATTGAATTCGGGAATGGTCAAAATGAATGTTTCCTTTGAAAATATGATATCCGAAAATTTTCGCGATTACAATACTTTCTTTACTTCGCACAAAGAAGTAAAAAAGGGAACTTTTAATTTCATCCAAAAGCTCTGTTTTCAAACAACTACTTAAACAATCAATAACTCATTTTGTGTTCAAATACTTAACCGTGCCTCGGACATTTTTATAACCTCATTCATCACACTGTCATATTCTGTCGATAATTCGGCATCAGATAAAATATTACTTATGTATGTATCTGAGGTACTTTCTCTGCGTCCGCAAAAAATTATTGTTATTTATTTATTTATTTATTTTTTTTGTAATATTAAAGTTATCTTGGTTTAGTTTCTCTAAAACTAATTAATTGATTTAACCTTTTATAGGCTTTTCCAATATTTGATCAATATAATTATTTGCTTCTCAGTTTTTCTTTTCAATACAGCTTTCGATATGATGAGAACTTCCCTCGCACTTTTTTATTCTTAAAAATAATATTTGCCAGTGCTGTATTCCTGTCGACCATACCATGTCCTTATTTGAAATTAACCAACATGGTTCGCAGTAGTCTTTGTCAAGTTCAAGTGAACAACAAAGCCAACATCTATCTATCTTTAAACTTAGATATTGATAATTGCATAATAAACAGAAGAAAACGATCTGCAATCTTAATTTTTTGGAAAGTCGGTATCTTCTGGTTTACAAAGGCCAAAATTTAAAATAAATCTCTTCTAATCCTTTGTAAAAATTTCTGGATAATGACAAAATTTAAACGGATGTCTTTCACTTTTCTCTAAAAGCGGCTGGAACATTTGCTGACCTTTCGTCACCATTTATGACTATAAATGGAATATTTTCTGATAGTTCGTCTTCTTCAGTCATTTCAATCGAAATATTTTCTGGTACCTTTTTAATTCTGAAAATTGCATTTGAACTGTCTGATGCTGCTTTTAAATATTCGCTAATTTCTGATGGCTGTTCCTTTGAGGTCAAAGTTCATGCTTAATATTCTTCTTGACCAGAATGCAAATACTGATCAGCAGTTTTGTCTTTCTAAAGTGTTGCATAATTCTTTTTTCGTCTTTCTTTTATTGCGGCTCATTTAAAGGTTTCTTCTCCATATTGTTAGATTTTTTTTTTTTTTAGTGTTTCAGTTTATAAATAAAAATGCATATAAGTAGAGTAAATCATTTAATTCATCATTTAATGAATAAAAAGAAAATTTTAATAATATCGTTCAATATTTTATGCCTATCGAAAACAGTATATTCTGTATCATTTCTTAAGATGATAAACAAATTATTTCACATTTTTCTTTACGTTCATTTCCGACCTAAACATTAGTTTTAATATTTTACTCTTAATATTCCATTACCTATCATCTGTACGATTTAAAATTAAGGCAGCCTCATTAATATATCAAATTTCCACCAGTGACCGAATGATTAAGACTACTGAACGTTACTAGTTCATCCTAGATAAGAAACCTAGAGAACAGTCTAATTGCGTAAACGTTTTTGTTGGTTTTGCTATGTGTAAGTAAATACGAGTTATTTTCTCACACATAGCATGCTTTCCATGAGGCAGACAGCGCTCTCGTCCTTTGGTATCCCGACTTTATGAAAAAACAGCATGTCAACTGCGCGAGACTATAAGGAAAATACCTAGACTAGAAATTTCTGTTTTCATCTTTCACAGCTTTTAAAAATGTAAACAAAATATTTAACTGAAATTTAGCAAACCATAAACTAGAAGCGAATTAAATTACACTTCATTTTTTAAAAAATAAACGCACAAATAATTTTGCTTCTTAAAACAAAATATGATGTTAATGTTCTTCGGGAATGCCTAACTGTACTGCACTAAATTTTATATCGCAGTTTTTAACGTTTGCTAGAGACATTTTAACCTATCAATTATTGGATAAAATTAATATATAATTTGTATTATTACTTCTATTTAGATAAGTTCATTTATGGTAATTAACCAGTTATTTTTATTTCTTTAGACCTTTACTGTTAATCAAAATCGCAATAACAACCTTGCATTTAGCGTACAATATATGTACGCTAAATACAAGGTTTTTATTGCGATTTTGATTGTCACATTGGCGTGTTTTACTTCTATTCTACTTTTACTGTTGTTTTTTCCATCCGTTTTTATGCCAAAATGCAAATTAGCTCGCTTGTATTTAAGATGAGGTATTTAGATTGTACGACAGAATGTGTTCTGCCTCTAGAGGCCACACTATCAGGTTTGCTAGCTTAGATAAAATTTGTTTTCTTTGGCCTTGCATTGTAATCGCCGATACTGAATCTTCACGCCATTTCATTTTTTTAATTCTTACACCTTTTTTTTTTTTTTTTGATGATGATGAAATCACGAGTAGGGAAGGGAAGCTTTAACACATCAAAGTGCTTTTAAAATGATGAAAAAAAAATGAACAATTAATGTACATAGTATTTGCGCGGATAAATTTTATAATGTACCATATATTGAAGTGAAAAAAAATAAATAAAATATTAACTGCTTAAATATTCGAATAAGATTTCATTATCAAAAAATTACATACACAGAATCTAGTATTGAAATCAATGTGCGTCAGAGTTATAAATTATTTCCGTCTGACAACTGGAAAAATAAATAAATAACAACAACAACAACAACAAAAAGTTTCAGATTTTAAATTACTCCCAAAGAGGCATTTTTTAAACATTTTCTCTGTTACCTTTATCTATTAAATATCACGTTCTTCGCACTGAAACTATAAAATTCAGTTCAACAGCAATACCGCAAAATAGTTTTAAATTGAGCATATCTTTAGAATTTCCAATACAGAATTAGGCGCGATAGAGATAAAAATGCTTTTTCCGTACAACGTTGCCAACCAGCCTCGCTTTGAAATCCTTGAGTTTGTTCAGCAAAAATTCGTTACAGTTTTACAAAATATGAAATCGATCATAAAACAAATTCCAAATTTCAAATTTGGGCTCCCACATGCCCATATTCGCAGAAGGATTACGTCATTCAAAATTCGATGGCTCTATGTACCATTGTTTTATCAATATGCGAGAAATATACGTATATTTAAGCAGATTTTTCATTATTTAATTTCTTCAAATATAATGCAGGACTCTAACATTTGGTGGCAATAGTTTGAAAAGTGAAAAGGACGTTTATAATGAACCAACGCAAAACCGCAAAACGAAAACAATAGTCCTTGAGGGACAAAGCTACTTTGAACTAAAAATGTGAAAAACTGTGAAAAAAGCAGGAAATATGAATGAAAAGAAAGGAAAAAGAGGTAATCTTAACTTTTTGTGTAACTTTTATTCGGGATTAAACCATTATCATGAGATTTATGTAAATAAATGAATTGCTTTAAAACAAGCTTTAAAACATGAATTAGTGTAAAGTGTACAATACCCCGAAAAAGCAGCAATTCTTATCCTCTGCCAACACACTCTTTTCGTATATACGAGAAAGTTTGACATGTGGCTACAATACAAAATCGGACAATTCTAAAACTGGAAGTTCTGGGAATTCTAGTGAACTTCGGGAGTCTTTCATAAATGCTGTATAAGTCGCTAAATAAAAGTTGAAGTAGGTCTAGTTTCAATGTATGTTAGCAAAGAAGTCTAGATCTTACAAATGTTTATTGTAGAGGACTCATTTTTCGAAAAATGATCATTACCAGTGATTATTCTTTAAAAAAAAAAATCTGTCGAATGGCATTATGTTTGAGATGCGTATCGCGTTTATTGATTCGTTTGTGTTAAGTGAATTTCTTTCAATTTATACGGAACCCAAACATCGAGCTTCCTAACGAGCCGAAGACATGTTAACGTGATTTTCTATCGTTGTGCGTGACACATTTAACTTCTTTGCAAGCTCTCGCACAGTTATATGATGATTTGATTCAACTATGGCTTTAATTTTGTCATCATCAACTTCAGAAGTTCGGCCAGAACGTTGGTCATCTTCAAGCGAATAATCTCCACAACGAAATTTATTAAACCAATATATACATACGTGACACATACGTTCTGTTAAGCAATCAACACTATCAACTTCACATAAGTTTCGAGTCTCAGCCGCTTTTCTTTATTGGAATAATAATTTTTGGATCCCTGGCCGTAAACTAACAGTTGTAAACAAAAATACACGAAATTTGTTTCTATAGCAACCTAAACGTGTCAGCTGCCAAATCTCAAAAGATAAAAATATACAAGATTGACAGAAGATTAACAAAATGAACGTAACGCTATCTATTGTTGGAAACTGAAATTACTTTCTTGCCAACCCAATAATTTATGCTGAGATTAGTGGACTGAGATTGACGAGAAATACTCAGATGAAACTTTATAAAGTAACTTTGATTAATCACTAGATTCACAGACATGAAAAATAACTTTTATTAATCACTGGATTCAGAGACTTGAAAAAGTAACTTTTTGATTAATAAAAGTTACCTGAAAGACCTGAAAAATTAACTTTTATTAATTCACTTTTCATATTATATCCTAAATCGTGAAAATAAATTACTATATTTGAGATACGATTTTGAAAGAATGGATTAAAAAATGTGAAATAAAATCTCCTTTATTGTTTTTGCAAATTAAGAATGACTTTGTTACAAGTACTAGAAAGAAGCACAAATTTTTCAGAAACAGTTCTAATACAATATGAAAAGAAATTCAAATGAAATTTTTCATTCTGCTTATATGGGCTTTCCTTTACAGTCACACTGAAAATAAAAATTTAATTTATAAAAAATTAGAGAGATAGCTATTTTATGTGTGATAGGTTTATTTGAAGTTACCTCATCTTTCTTGCGTTGTCCAAGGAAGTGTTTTGCTACATGAGGTGGCAAGATATTATAGACGAGCGCTTCGTTCTTTACTCTCATATCTGCAACTTTTTCTCGCTGTGCTTCCACATCTTTCTGCCACAAAAATAGGCGCCGTGAAGTGATTTCCAACTAAAATGCAAAAAAGAATGTTATGTGTAAAATTATGCAACTTCATAAAAAATTTAACGTATTTTCTATTATTACAAAAAAGGCCAAATATATATATATATAATAATTTATTTCCTAAACCGTATTGATTAATTGATTATATTATCTCCTAAGTTTAATTAAAGTAGAATTAAAATAAATATATATAATATATATATATATATATATATTTGTTTTAATTTTTCTAAAGCAGGATTTTCTCAACATGCTTCCATCCGATCCTTCTTTAAAAATAATCTGATACAAATTCCTTCAAACATAATAATAATAGTAATCTCAAAGATAATCGATTTAGTTGCATATATTTCTAGTGCATTTAAAATTCACACAAAATGATGTTATAGAAAGCAAATTATATAAATTAGAAGCTTCTAAAGCGTTCAAACTATAGGGCTGGTTCGAAATGTTCAAAGTATGACCTTCAACCTTGAATGAAATCATTCTATTCCTTTTCTAACACAATTTTTGAAACCCTTTAAAACTACTTTTCTCATAAATTCTGTTCAATACACATTTTGCATGATTTTTAAAAGTAATGTCTGTAATTATTTGAAAACAATTTGAGAATTATAAAGGCTCTTACCTGTCGATTAATAAGGATGAGGCATATGGCAACAATTACTACGATCACAGTTAGAGTTACAGAGTGCACTACATTGGTATCGCTGCAACAGGAGAAGAAAATAAATCAGTTCGGTTAAAAATATTATACGCATTTGCATGCATTAAATCTTTTACGCTCAATATTCAGACACAACTTTTTTATAATTATAATTAAAAACATGATTTCAAAAGAATCGCCTTTACAATAAAATAACAAAAACACTGTAATTATACATTTTGTCGTTATTAGTATTATATACATAAAATTAATTAAAATTTTTTTTATTTATTTATAAATTTCGCAAGTAATTCTTCATATTCTTATTACTATGTAGCTTCTAATTCTTATTACTATGCAGTCTAACCGTTTGTAGAAATTTATGTAGTTTAAAAATTAAATCAAAATCATCCAAAAAAATCATAGCAGAACAGGTATCCTCCAAAAAAATCTTAAAATAATAATTTTTTAATAATTAAGAAAAGTTTAATATCATGCCGCTTTCTGATTAAGAACCTCTTCATCCCTAATTTTGTGGTACATTTTGATGTCAATAAACGAGGCAAAAATACATTTCATAGACTTCAGATTTTTTGGAGCGGTATTAAAAATTAATAATCTAAAAAAATAGTGGGTATTAATCTGCACTAAATATTCTAACTTACCGACAGAGTTTTGATTTTTCGAGAAGATTGAACATAAACTTTCAGGGGGGTAGAGAAGCCATCTTTTTTTTTTTCTCCCCTTAACACCCTCTATTTTACTTTTGGATTATGCAGAGTTGTATCATAGTTTATATATTATGTATCTAGAATCACAAATACATTTCGCATTCTCCTTGAAAATCTCGTCTTGAAAATGTTCACTATTATTTTAAACCCCTGATACTCTATCTGTTTTCAGTCTGAACACATACTCACCTGACGCCGTAGGTGCGTTGATCGTAATAATCCAAGGATTCCCTCACGATAAGCGTGTTAATGCATCCTTGTATGACAGCAATCATCACGGTCAGGCAGAACTTGGCGAGGTGAGACAGGTGTGTCAGTACCGTCAGCCCAATGAGCTCAAGAACTGCGAAGTACGTGAGGTATTGAGGGAAGTTGTGTGTTCTTGTAGGGTCTTGGTTGTGCTGGTGGTAGCGCGCCGGGAAGGTCGCATTCCTGGTGCTGCTGGCATTTTGGTAAAAGCGTTCTACAAGTGTGTGGGCGACAATAGACTCAACAGATTGAGGCCAATGGTTACTATATATCTGAGGGACAAATTACAATTGCTTCGATCAAATTTTTAGGAAACGATGAAATATCTTTTAAAAACAATAAAAAATGTCATTATCAACAACTCTAAAACAGATTAAAAAAGTACTGATGAATAACAAAAGGTCTAAAATTTAAGAGAGGGTGAATTAATGCTGAATATGGAATATACCTGTATACGAAAAGATATGTGTACTTATAAGAAATAACTCAAAGTATATAAAATGAAACATCTTTATGAAATACTAGAATTTTCAAAACTGAATTATTAAAAAAAGACTTAAATTTTTGAGCATAGGATGATAACATTTTTTTTTTTTTTTTTTTTTTTTTAAATGGTGGAGTTTTAAACATTTCATTTAAAAAAGGGTAAAATGCAGTACAACCTCCCTTTGGTTTCATGACATATTATCCATTATTACTCAAGAAGAAACACTGATTAACTAATAAAATTGCAAATTTATACTTTGTTATTTTCTAAAATGTCAGGCATTAATTCATTTGATCTTTAATTGTAGTTTCACAACTTTTCTCGATTACCCGTAATTCAGAACTCCAGAGCACAAGATTACTTACTGGCTTTGAGGTCGCTTTTGTAAAGAAATTTACAAAAGAAATTCATTCGTGTTACGTTATACAAGAAGAAAACCAAAAACGAAATTCTGAAAGTAGCGTCTACAGAATTCGTTGCATAATGACAGTATTCGTGGTATAGTGAATATATGGATTAGGCCAGTGAAACATCTATCTCAAGTTTCACTAGACTTATTTATTTGGAAGCTGATGTGCTTTATTAGTCACATAATTTAATTTCATTAAAAATAAATCTAAATTCAAATGTTTTAGGGCCCACCAGCGGCCGAGCGGTAAAGTCGCTGAACACTGGTAGTTCGGTCTGAGGTTCGAATCCCGCGAACGGGCTGGCTGCATGGGTGTTTTCGTGGTTTTCCCCATGTGTAACGTGTATACGAGCCAGTTTCCCTTAGAAAGTCCTCCACGAAAGGCATCCCTCCCCTTAGGCAGATAGCCCTAGTGTGCTTTGCCATAATTAAATACATCAACATCAAATGTTTTAGTTATAATTTTAAAAAGAACTCTCTTGTGTACATTAATGGCAATTAGGTTATGGTAAAATGTTCCACTTACCGTAGACAAGATATGGACGACGCACCAGATGATAACCATTATAAGTATGATAGTGAACCTTAAACATGGTCTTTCTAGGATTTTATTGCAAGCTCTGAGGAGCATAGGCGGCCCCGTCTGGAATGAAAATAAATATTAGATTCAACTGTAGCAATGTTTTGCTTTATACCAGAAGCATTTGGACTACGTATAATTGAGCAAATTACCAGACATTGATGTAGTACATCGGAATTGCTTATGGTATTGAAAAAAAAATTAAGTACCGAAATTATTGAAAAATGAAACAAAGAAGCTATATATTTAAATATAGTTTAATATTAAAAATACCTAATCGAATAATATTTCTTGGCTTCTTTCTGCAGCTTATTTAAAGTTCTATTTTATCTAAGCTGTATACAGAAATACACTAACGGGAAATTTTATACTATTATTTGAACAGAATACTAATAACGGCTTTCATAAAAGGTAAAACAAAACATAATGCTACTGCTCAAATAACGAGCTTTTAAAAACAGAGGACAATTCTTAAAGAAAAAGCGAAGTCTAGACAAGGGGTGTCCAACCCACAGCCGGATGTGGCCCAAAGTAAGTATCAAGACCCCACCCCCAATGATACATTTTACTGCTACTTACTACTATTATTTTACTTACTATGGTTCCAGACTGCCTTTCAGTATGGAAGAACGGGTTATTTGATGCTTTGGAGTTGGAGCAAAATAAGATGTGTTTCGAGTAAAGTGACGGTTCTTTTGATTTGCGCGAAGTGATCATTTTTATTTTGATAAATTGTTTGTGTTTGTAAGTATTTGCGTTGCTATCATAAGAAAGAAATAATTCTATGTTGTTGGCATTATATTTAAAACAATCCTACGTTAATAAATTTTTAATTACTTAAATATGTTTCCGCGCTTTTTTGCTGACCAGCCATGGTTAGCGTTAGGCAGTCCAGATTATTCAAGTGAATCACTGACTGACTGCAACTTTTTTAATGTAGATGCTTTTTATATATAGTACACACTGAATAAATTTGATGTGCGATTTACTTATTTTGGAGGTCACGAGCTTCCATTGATTTTTAGAAATAACTTGTATGACCCAAAATAGCTTGTCTTCTTCCAGTATAGCCCAAGAAAACTAAAAGGTAACTGGTAAGGAAACTAAAAGGCCCAAGGAAACTAAAAGGTAAAACTAAAAGGTAAAACTGGGCACCTCTGGTCTAGATCAGATTTACATAGATATAAATATGTGCTTATTAAGATATCTAATAAATTTAACCCTTATATGCATGTAGTTGCCATTTGGCAAAAAACTCATATTTAGTTATATAAATCAAATCAAAACACAAATTTTAGCTTACTGCATAGTATAATCAATTGGATACATACTGTTTACGTGTATAGTTTTGAAAGGTCTCAGTGTAATACAAACGGTGTAACGGTCATTATTGTGAGGTGATGTGTAGGGTGTGGACATCATTTGTGTTTACAAGTTTTTGATTTTGCGTTTGTTGTTATTTTGATGTATTCAAAGTTTTAAAATTGTTTGAACAAGTTTATAAGGTGTGTATTATTACATAAAATTGTTATTACACATATCATATTTTTTGCATAATGTAGCCATTTGGCAACAATAATATTTATTCAAAAATTGGAGTAAAAATTTAGATTTAAAAAAAATATTTTTTCTATTTTATTTGATAACAATTCTAATGATTTTTTTACTTAAATTTAAAAAATAAAATAGAAGTAAAAAAAAAATTAATGCATTTTAGCTTTAAACTTTACACTTTTTAACTTGTTTCATACGTTTTAACTTTATAATTTTTAACTTGCTGCGCATTATTTTAAATTCTCTTACTTTAAGACCAACAGGTACAATGCATATTGTGGCGACAGCGGACAGCAACAGAACACCAGCCGGAAGACATACTGCAGCTACGATACTTCTATAAATAAAATATGAACAAAATTACTAACAAAAACCAATATTTTTTAATTAATGTTCAATAAAATTTGGAGAGCTATCAGATTAAAAAAAAAAAAAAAAAAAAAAAAAAAAAAAAAAAAGACTTAAAAGAGCGTTTTATTAACGTTTTGTGTGTTATCTTTATTTATTAAATATCATGGTCTTCGCACTTAAACTGCATAAAATTTACTTCAACAGCAGTATCACAAAATATTTAGGAACAGTATATCTTTAGAATTTCCGATACACAGTCTCGCGCGCTGGATATAAAAATGTTTTTCCCGTAAATGTTGCCATTGCTCGCTTTGAAATCGGTCAGTTTGTTAATGAAAAATTCGTTAAAGCTTTACAAAATTTGAAATAGATAATAAAACAAATTCGAAATTCAAAATTTGATAGCTCTAGGTAACGTTGTTTTTTTCACAATGCGAAAAATATTCATGCAGATTCTTCATTATTTAGTTTCTTTAAATAAAATACATGGCAATAATATTTGGTGGCAACAGTTTGAAAAACGAACCAATGCAGAAAGTGAAACGACGCAAAATGCCGCTTTGAGACTATGCCGTTTGGATCTACACCCCTTTGGGCTAATACTTTTAAGGACTTTTACAAGAACTTCTTTGACAAACTTTCATGGAAATTTGATAAGGATATGATGTGATAAAACGTTTATGGGGAATGTTTTTAACGTGATTAGATGGAAGATCTATAAGTATAATAAAACGAAATGAACTAGACAGAATGATCGTAATATCAGGAAACCGAAAAATGAACTATTGGCGTATTATTGAACTATAATACGCCAGTAGTTCATTTTTAGGAAATTGAATAATATTCATTGAAATATTGAAAAATAGAATAATAACCGAAATTGAATAATAGTTTATTTCAATGGATAACATAATATGTTTGCTGGCCTATAACTATAAAATAAACAAGCATATCCTTCCGACCGAACTGTGGCGAGCCAGATCTCTTGACTTGTTTCTGTGCTTGGAGATTTTTCAAGTATTTTTAGGCAGAATTATAGACAGCAGAGTACAAAAGTTGCAGTCCGAGAAGTGTTAAAGATTAATTTGACATTCAGAAAATTCCACGCACAATGCTAAGACGATAGCCGGTCAGATGGGAAAGTCCTTAGTGACTCTGACTGCCGTACCGAAGGACTCGGGCTCGAATCTCAGAAAAGGCTCGGATGTAAATTGTCCTTTGATAGGAGGCAGCACAGGTCCACCTGTAAGGTGCCTCCACAACAAAGTGACTACCGCTTCCAGCTTAGTATTCGCCAACGCGTATAGAAGTGTACGCCACTGGAAAAGAAAAAAGTGTTGAGACGAAAGGCATCTAATTTGCATCCAACGGTACGAATAATAGTTCTAGATATTATTGTCATATTATGACACTAAAAAATGGAATTCAGGGAACTCTACGAGGGTAAATAAACTTTCCTTCTTAATACTCTACGAGGGTAAATAAACTTTCCTTCTTAATAAACAGATGTTAAATAGGAATGCTTACTTTGCTATTAGACATTTATCACTAAGTACATACTTTTTGAAATTAGGATTAGAAGGCACTACTGTAATACCGCATTAGGAAATTCTTGAATTTTATGCGTCATATTGGACACTTCAAAAGCAGATTTCGGATAAGCAAACACACAGCAAATAGCACAGAACGGAAACCTTTTCAGTATATATGCAAAGTGTTATAATTACATATCAGTTTCTCTAAGATGTAAAGTCATATTATTTCTAGCTGCCATTTTCCAGTATGTTTAGATAATCACGCATCACACTTTTAGCATGCAAGCCAGACTTTTAGCTATGCCAAGCGCTTCCAGGCCTTTCAGGAATCTCAGGTGACCAGGTATCGAAAGATTTAGAAATGGTTTACTTTAGAATGATCTCCCGAAACAAAAAAAGAGATGCTTTTAAAGGTTTAATGTCTTCTCAGCTCTTAAAGGATCCGCAGAAGATACGTTTAAAATTACAATTGATGAGCATTTTTGTCTTTTGTGGAATTGAGAAAATAAAATAAAGGTCGAAAGACTACGTTATTTACAATTTAGTGTACTCAAAAGGTAGACTAGGTTCAAGGAGAATCTTATTTTTTCTTTAAAAATAAATATTTATAGCTTTTTGTGGTGTTTTATCAAATATTATTATTTTCTGTTATATAACACGACATATAGAGAAAAGAATAAGATTATCTCCCAATGAAAAATCTAGTTTCTATTGCATTAATAATATTCTGAATCATATAAATTCACCTCTCCTTTCATAAATGGAGACAACGCTTATGACACCCACATCGGTGATAATTTTCCAGAATACATCTTTTAGATTGACGTCATTACGTTTCTACATGACGGTACTTGATTAGAATCTGAAATAGATCCAAGATTCATCGACGCGTCAGAAACTATTCCCATTGCTAAGGAAACCCAAATGAGTTCCTTTACTGAGAATTACAGACCAAATCACTGCCTTTAATGGAAACTATGCAACTCCCGAATGACATCAAACATAGGGCAAATGATTAGACATAATTTGCTTTTGATATATTCCTTAACCTATTAAGTGAACGTGTAAGGGAATAAATTTCAGTAATTTGTTCCCTCACAAAGAAGAGAAATGCGAAGAGAAATATTTTCAATAAAGGTACAGAATAATCAAAAAGGAAAATTGTTAACAGAAAAATTCAAATGCAATTAAATGTCAATCTGTTACATGGCATTCCGAAACGTTTGATTATTAATTCGACTGAAATATTATTAATGAATTCAAAACATTTGCAATATTAATAATTGACTGTACCATTTTGGTTAAACCATTATAGTAAACAAAATAGCAGGCCTGTTTTCCTCATGGCGGAGCAGAGTACAAAGGGCAGAGTTACCTTGAGCCGTACTAACTGCCAACTTATAGGTTTCAAATTGGTATTTTTTACAATGGTTTTACCATTGGTATTTTTTTTAGCAATTGGTATCTTTTTAATGCAATGGTCTTCCAAGCAAGCTTTATTATAATAATTTATAATAATGTAAACTCGAGGTTTAAATAAGTAAAATCTCGAAGTCATTGCTATATCGTATTTACAACAAATGCATATATAAATGCATTCGCGGGCCAATAAAATTGCTTCGGCGGCCGCATGCAGTGCGCAGGCCATCAGTCTGACCCTACTGGTCAAGACGATGTTTTCTCTTTCTTCTTAAGAACAGACAGAACTGTGACAGGTTTTTCTCGAAATGGCGCAGTTTTTCCTTAAAATTAACGCCAATGTAAGGCTGAGTTTTGCGTTCTGGTTTGCTTGGGGTGAGATACCAATAGTTGCACTTTTATAATGCTTCGTTTTTACATCCTAAAACAGTTCATTTTTTAGGAAAATCGTACTAGGTTTATTGCTGCGCTTTCTCCAGCCTCATTTTCTCCATTTCTTTGATTTTACAGCTAATCAATGATTACAATGATCTTGATTATATTCTAAAGACGATTCATTATTTGTCTTCTACAAACGTTGAAATTGTTCATTTAGTCATCGGTTTACGCAAGCATGCAGATAATGGGGTTTCTCAATCTATACTATTTAATGAATACTATTACTCAATCTATACTAATTAAGGCAGTGAATTTCTCGCTAAACGAACTCCCGTCTATGAAAATTCAGACCGATTTTCTACACTTTTAATTGCTCATAAGATTATATGAATTATTAGTAAGATTATAAGAATTACAACGAGAAAAATTAATTTTCTATTAATTAATAGACAAACAATAATACTTTTTCAATTTTTAATTTCTTGATTAAGTAGAAAATATGCATTTTTATACAAAGGTGCGCTTATTTCTGGCATTGTTTGTGATTCCCTCCCCCTCCAATCAGAAATTTTAACCTATCCCTTATGTGGCATGGCATCCTACGTATATGACATTAGAAGCACATCTAAAAAAATTACAATAATGCTGTAAGTGCTCATAAATACAACTAGATATGATATATATCAGTTTGGCATTAAAAATAAATAAAGACTTTAACTAGGAATAAAACTGTCAAGAAATGAGTTCATAGCTTTTAAATTGCTTTTAAAACTGACTGACGAAGGCAAAACACACGAGATCTCTGTATCTAAAGGAAATGATGCTTGCGTGAATGGTTTTCTAAACGAGATTAGTAGTCGAAAGAACCTATCTAGTCAGTTCTTTCAGTCAACTCTAATTATTCTGCACCCTCGTTGAACTACTAGTGTTAAGTGATGTTACTCACTTGGCAAGTGGTAGGCACAATTTGTTACCGAATTAGTTTGAATATCAGGATGTGAAAGATAAGGAATTAGATTGATCAAATCCGAAAGAAAAGTTAAATTTAGCTTTTCTGAATGGCAACACTATGGAAGATAGAGAAACTATATTTCAAGCAGGGGTAATACTCGTCAAAGCGAGAGAGTGGTTTATGGGTAGTAGTTTGAAAAGAATCAGAAGAAAAATCTAAACCTTATTTTATCTGAGAAATTTTTACTTTTTATTAAATTCACGTTAAATAAATAAAATACTAAGGGATTAAATTGCACTCAAATTTTCGACACAGATGGAATGAACGTTTCAGAGTGAATATATTTTTTTTATTTTCAGTGTTAGGTTCAAGAAAATAAATCACTGAAAGAATGATGACAATTAGATTCAAACTGCTGAAATTTAACTTTTTTCGGGTGCATAAAAATTAAATAAAATATTTATAAAAAAATGCCAGATTAAAACTGCCTGATTCTCATGATATTTTATTTTTGAAGATTAAAAAAGCTAAAAATAAAGCATTATTCGACAGACGTGTCTAAATGCATGAAGCCAGTGAATTAAAAAATCGCTCTCGCAATAAGACATTTAATTTGCTTTTCACTTGAAGAAAGAGAAGGAAAAAATAACCCATTCCAACTATAAGTGTTAAAATTACACGCCTATTCCCTTTTGAATATTA